TGTCGGAAGCTGTAGGAGCCTGCCCGCGGATGGCCTCTCCTGCCCCCCATAACTCACTCTCGCTAGAACCTGCAATTATACACAGTCTCAGATCACTTCCGTACCATTCCGAGAATTTGTAATGGCGACCTTATAATGTAATAGTTTGTGAAAATTATCGTTTTTAAATTGTTTTTTAACAGGAGTCCTCGGATTTCTATATTATACTGATAATTATAACATATCCCATAAAAAGCTGTATCATTATATAAAACAACCTGAGTGTCAATTAAAATATTTTTAAAATTGCTTTTCAAGTAATCAATTATAGAGGTCTTTTAACTTCTTTACACATATACCTTTTTTAACCCTCTGATTTTTATAAAATATAATAATTAATAACGTATTAAATCACTGTTAACCCTTACTGTTCATCATATCTTTTGTTGTCCGTGTATTACTTTGTCCACCTTATACATATTTATATTTATACATATATGTAATCATAATTTATGCTTGCTTTTAAAAATATTTTTCCTCATATAAATTTTATGATTATATCTACCTAAGGAGGACATGATGGCCGAACCTTAGGTCGTGAGTCCCATAGTGCCCGGTTCTAAAGGTTTTGGGTTCGATTCCCAACTGGGTCGGTTATTATTACCCCTAACCACCAAGCCCATTTACTGGACTACTCCCCCCCCCCCACCTGTATCAGTACCAGTATACCTACTTAATGACGGTTGACAATTAAATATTATTAATGCAGTAAAATTTAGATTTCCTATATCCATTTGGATATTAGTATTTACCAAGTTTCAACTCATAATTTTCCCTTTCTTGAATATTTTTTAAAAATAAAACATTAATAAACTTACTGGCCGGTCACGTTTCAATTAAGGACAACCACCATGCCACATTTCGTGACGCGAGCATTGGGTTGGGCATCCCTGAATTAAACTAATGAATTAATCTTTGCCGTTTCTGTAATATTTGTATAACTTCCTAGAACAAATTATCAAGAAAACTTTAAATGATAAATATAAAAGTGAATTATATTACTATTTTTGGATGATATATTTTATTTGATTAACATATTATGATTTGTTTAAAATCTTTAAACGCTTATTTGTATAGATTATTTCAATTACATGATCAATTTTCTGACTATATGAATTACAGTCTTGAATGAATGCGTCAAAGATGAAGATCACACTTAATATCTTCTAATTAGAAGAAATAAAAAAGAAATTCGATGTACTAATGGAATGATCAACAGACGAATTATATTATAACGACATATTTAAAAATAATTTTAAGAAGCGGTGTATGAATCTTGAAAATGGCTCGAGAAGCAGAAACGTTGAATAATAAATACATGATGTGAAAACGTTTATTATTGGTGACCTTTGATCTAATGTTTTTTAGAAAAACATAAAAAATGACACAGAACCTAAAGAATATGACCAGAAAAATAAAATTATAAGGGCTTATCTATCCTTGAATATAAGTACAATAAAATTATAATTTATATATACATACAGTTAAAAATATATACTAAAAAAACAATAGTATAATGAATAGTCATTCTTAAACATAATAAAGGATCACATCATGTAATAATTACCATATTTCTACGTAATAAATTCAAGGATACACTTAAATAAATACATAATTAAACATGAAACAACGTTTTTATTCATATATACCACAGCAGTATACAACCAAGTATGGCTAAAAATGCTTTTGAAACATTTTTTCTAATATTTCTCTATTATCAATATGTTATCATTGCGCACAAAATAAAAATTTAATACTCATTGTAATTAAAGAGCCTAGGAGACAAATATTATTGAGTTAAGTATTAATATTGGTGATATCATGTAAACTAATAATAGTGTACTAAGTAAGTGATAAACAAGAGAGGATCCAATTTCCTCAATTTAATTTATTCCTTAATTAATTAATAGAATCAGTTATCGGTCTCTAACGCAATTAGTGTATATATAGTATAAACACTGTACATACACTATAGTGCGGCAAAATAAAGACTTATAATAAATTTTAATTGCAATTTAACTAATAAAGACTTATATAAACTTTAACAATCTAGACTTATATAAGCAATTTATATAGACATATATAGCAATTTAGACTTATATAAACTTTAGCAAAATAAAGACTTTTAATAAACTTTAATTTCAATTTAACTAATAATGTATCAAGTCGCTGAGTTCGCTCGAGAATGGGCGGATACTGCCCTCATCGGCTGCAAGAGAAAACGAGAAATCGAGACTACAACACGGTGAAACATCCGTTTCAAACTTTATTTTCTGTCATGTAATTAGCCACTTTTATGCCATTCTATTTGTCTAATTAATAATGAATTTGTAGGCTGATTTAGTCGATCCGAATGGATGTTAATATTTTTTTTTATCAAATTTTATATAAAAAATAATTGTTTGTGTTTTACTACAACTGAATCAGTATAATTTTACATTTGCTATAAGTATTATATTTCTCAAGTTGTTAGGAGTAATATCAAGTAACTACACATTCGAAATTATTACATAAATTTGCATTTGTAGGTATTGCAACTAATTGGTTACTCTAAAGATTACACATTACATGTTCGGTTTTTTAAAATATATTTATTTTAATATCCAATTTTTAAAAACTATGAATGGATTAAAAAAAAAAATGTATGTTACTCATTTACTGACTTATAGAGGTTATTTTGCTTTCAACGGAGAGGACACTTGCATCCTTGAAAATAACTTTTTAAAATATATATATAAACACTTAATAACTTTCATAACTGTTATTAAAGTCCCAATTGTTTGCAGTTAAAAATACAAAACAATTATTTTGGGTCATATACCATCATTGGGTCATATAACATACCAAGGTGGTAGAAAATAAAAAATAATCATCTACAGGGAACTTCCTAATCATTCAATAGTGATCAAAACAATACAATAATATTATTATTTGGGCCCACAACACACACTCCATTCCTTTGCGAAAAATAAAACAATTATTTTGGGGGCCGAACAAACTGCTGTACTACAAAGATATAAGACAATGATTTTTGGGCCCTCTGTGGAGAACCCAATCATTCTACGTTAATAAAAAAAAAATATTTTTTGGCCCACAAGAGGGGCTCCATTCTATTGCGAAAAAAAGATACAAAACAATCTTTTTTCGAATCAAAATTACCGCGATACTAAAAAAAATAAGATTTTTTTTCATTTAAAAAAAACAATAAATTACAAAATATAATTATAATGTAGGTATATGTAATAACTTAAAAATTGTATCGTTTATAAATTATTGAATATTCATTTTATAATAGTTCTTATGAAATAATAAACAATTTATTTTATTTTTATTACAAAAAAAGTAAAAACCAGCGATAATGATATTTTGAACACTATATGTTCCATTGCTCACATTTTCCGATGAAAAAAAAATTCTTATTTTTTTTTTTTGTATTAATTGTAAAGATTATATTAACAACAGCTGATCCAGATCAAGTCATAAAGGTTCAACCAAATAATCTCAGATTCAATTTATCGTTATGAAATTATAACGAGATTTAAAAGGAATAAGGTTTAGAGATTGAACACAATTATATTTTATTACGAACAGACAGTAATCTTAGTGAAACGAGTAAATAAAAGTTGTTTTTTCCTTGAGGCCGTTTTATACGGGTACGCATTGACCCCACCGATTATTTAATTTTATACTTTAGTTCATTTAACGGTTTTGAGTTTGTTTATTTATTTAGATTACAGCGAAAATAAACAATGGTTATATACAGTTCAAAGAATAATATAAAAGTTTAATTCTCATCCTTGGTAGACAAAATTAATATTTTAAAACTATGAAAACGAATATTTAATGTAAAATTTTTTTCTTGTTTTGGTTTGAGATATTTTTCGAAAAAAAAACAACTACAGAACCTTATTTTCACTACAATTATTAAAACTAAATTTTAGAGCATGTCTAATTATAGGAGATATTAGTGCATACCTAGAAATTGTTCGAACATTTATATATATAAAAATAAGTATAAATATATTTTAACTACCTTCGGGCGGACCATGGCGGTTTTAATTAATACGAATCTATCTTTAACAATGACTGCTAAAAAGTTGTAAGAAATAAATTTTGCAGGGGATACCGGAAGTTTTTTTAAATCGCGGTATTTGTAAAAATATGATTTAAAAAAACCTATTTTTGATAACAAAAAGAAAAAAATATTCGAAGTAAAACACGTTTTAGAAATTATTATACTTTTTTTTAATTGAGCAGAATGACAGTAAAAAGTTGCAAGAAAAAATTATCAACCATTAATTCGAACCAAGCAATTTTACAAATCATTCGAAATTCCACAAATTAACTAGGTTTTCAATTGAACTATTTACTAAAAACAGTATAAAATGTTCATTATACCAACTAAAAATATTCTCACGAACTGCCTAAGGTATCAATTAAACAGTACTTTAGTACCAGTGATGCGGTTGAGAGAGTAGCGCAGGGTTCTCCTGGAGTTCCCTCGCCTGACTGTAAATAGTGTTTATAGGTATGCATGTGTATTTTGCTTAGTTTTAATTTTCTTATTTTTAGGTTATTTTATTTTATTTATTGTATATACTTTTTGATTATTATTTATTGTTATTTTGCTTCTATTTATTTTATATTTTTTGTACATATAGTGTGAATGTTATCCTACCTCACTATAACTAGTGTCCATGGGACAGATTGTCGTAATTCTCAATAAATAAATAAAATAAAAAAAAAATTTTAGAGATATAAAAACAAAATTTTCTAAGCGATGTCGCAGATTTTCCATTACTCGGCCCACTGTGCGATGCACCAAGCCATTGTTTTAGTTACCATAGCTTTATATAAGCCTTATCTTATGCTATGAATATTGAATACATTTCTTATTATTTTGAATTCGTATTTTACCTAAAATCCAAGTTCAAACATAAGTTATTCTTCTTCCTTTCTAGGCCGCTTACATGATCGTTGATGAGATGCACGAGGAACATCCAGAGCTCCTGAAGGACCAGTACTGGGACGAAGTTGTACCAAGGGACTTACCTTACACCCTGGCCTCCGAGTGCTACCGCAAGTCCGAACCCAAGGGGTCGGCGGAATTTTACAAAGTGAAGCAAACAGAGGCGCTCTATGCTAACCTGACTCACAGGAAATCTGTCGGCCAGCCAGACGAATACGCCGATTACGTAAGTATATTATAAGTAATTAATTCTGGAATTTTTCCTGAAGGAAAGATGCAAATAAATAGCTGTTGATTCACATCTACGGATCGGAAAATGTGGGATAGTGTAGAAGCTGATTTCGAACATGATTGTATAAAGGAGAGGAGAGGTGTATTAATTACGTTATATTTCAACGACTCAGAAAATTTGGGAATTATGAAAATAAGCTTTTCATATTTTTTTTTTTATTATTCTGTTTATAAATCCGAGTGACAATGCTTTTATACAAAAATAAATTATAGAAGGTATAATATATCAATACCATATCGTATTTCGTTCAAGCAACATAATAAACAAGCAAACTAAAATTTAAAAAAGCCCACTAAAAATTTGATTTCTATATTTCTACTATTTGAGCAAAAAGTCGTACGTAACAATTTTTCATGCTTATTCTTTTTGTGCGAGATATGAATTTTGTAGACAGCAACTCCTAAATAGGAAAATAGCGGAGGGAAAAAAAATATGAAATTATATTAATAAATCATAAAGAAATAATCCATTTTTATGCACTTCTGTAAAAAAAAAAATCAATTTTTACACACAACCTTTTGCTCTTACAGTAGCAATATATACAAAATGCGACGTCACAATATAGTTTTTAATCAAGTGACAACAGATTTTCAGATGAGAGGATTTTTATCGGTTATAGCTAGATCATATTTCACTGAGAGCTAGTGTTGCCCAAAATCGGTATTGGTCTTGCACTTTGCAAGACCAAGACCAAGTCCTCCTAACTTTTGCAAGATCAAGAATAAGCCTGGTAAAAAAATCGATTTTTTAAATAAAAATTAAGGCAACATAGTTACTAATACTCGACAATCTTAGTTACTATATGTTAATAATTGGTATAACCAATATACTTTTGCATTTAATGCCTATAATTTTTCATTCGGGCTTAGTTATGTTTCTCCTATCTAAAAAAATACAGTAATATCTCTAAGCTTATTTCGTTTGAAGGAATTAAGGCACTTCTTTGAAATACAAATTTGAACAACTAATTGATAAGATCTGCAAACAAGAAGAAACTTTTTTTTTTTAGGTTTATTAAATTTTGTTGTGGATATTTTTTAATGATGGTAAATAATGTGCAAAAATTAAATATTTTATCATTTAAAAAATAGTTGATAAAAAATAATAACTGTCCTCAGTCCTTCGGAAATTTCAGCTGTTCAGTATCGTTTCCTGGTTTGCATGGTCTGTTTAAGGTCGATTTCCTTATATCTGTATATGCACGAAACCATCGAGGTCAATTGAGCCGACGGTGTGGCTGTGGTTTCAGGCAAGCATTGATAACCAATGTGTTAAAAGTTAGCCTTTGGCCTTAAAATAATGTGAAGGTAAAAGATAAATTATCATTCTTTGGTATCTAATAATCATTTTTATTCAAATATCTCACAGGTGTTATTTATGGCCTATACAAAATAGTTTTCTCTGATTTAATTTCCAATGAAATTTACGTTCTCAGCAGCTGCATTAAAATTAATAGTTGATGATGAGAAAAGAAACAAGTCTTAACATTTAATTCGTAAATAGCTACGTAAAATGTACAAAAAATACTGTGTATAACAGTTTTCCTCATATAATAATAAATTTCTAATGAAAAATAGCTATTGAAACACATAAAAATAGAAATTGAAACACATATATAAATAATAACGAACTAATTCGTACGATATCCTTAAAATTACACTTATATTTGAATCCCTCAATCCTAATCATTTCAAATATTATTACTTCCTCACCACCGAAGTAAGGGGAACATTACAAGAATCAATTTTTTTTTTCCTCAGAATCGAAATTTTCAAATCCCATTTTACGATTCTAACAAAGTAAAATAAAATTTAAAAAATAGATTTCTCGCCTGCCAATCTATATAATCAATTTTTAAAAAAATCCTGCTACTGTAGATCAGATTTTGACAGTTTTTATTTTAGTTTTAAAAACTTATATATACGTAATCAGCTCGTCCAATTTCTCCTTAAGTTGGAGAAAACTTGGGCCTATTGTACAAATTTTTCATATCAACGTTATTATCAAAGTGTTTCCAGTTCTTTATCTTGCTTATGTGCCATCGTATTTTCATTAACACGCAAATATTTCGAAAACAGTCCAATCAAGGTTTTTTTCTTTGTGAAATCAGTAATTCTGCACATGGAGTGATTATTTTGTATCTCAAGCTTTGTGTCATTTTAATGTAGGTATTACTGTTTTTTCATATGTAGATAAGATCAAAATTCAAAAAACATTCTTGAAATTTTAGATACATCAAAAATATACATGGTGACTTTTGTAATAAGATAAATATTTATCATCCCAATGTTGTTGTTTTTTTTTTTCAAAATGTGTAAATTAATTGCTTTTTCTACAAATTTCTAATGATGGTGATATTTTTGTTTCATCGAAACTATCCACTAATCGTCTATGGCTTTAGATCAGATGTTTGGGAGGGAAAATGAACAAGATTTTAAAAACATTTAAAAAAAAATTCAGTATTCTTCTATTCTAGACCGAATTATTTACCACGTTGAATCCCAAGCTTAAAATAATTTTAAAGGAGAGTTCTGCAATTTATTTAACACGATCCTCAAATCACAGTCGGGTAAACATTTGCAAATGGACTAATTGGTTTCAATCATTCACAGTTTAGATAAAATAAAAGTAAAAACTTACTTTTATCTAAAATCATGTCTAATATGGGGCGGGAAGCCAAGCGGACTAACGAGTGTGCACAACACCGCGTTTGCTGGCAATCAGATGGGAGATAATTACGCGAAATAATTACGAGTTAGCGTTCCGGTACTGGAGGGCATTAATCCGACGTCGTCACCTCCTGCCCCGGTAAAACCCCGTATAGCCTAAAAGTTGAGGAATGGTGGGGAGGGAGGAACAAAAATAAAATAAATACATGCCCCATACCTCCTTCGATTTTTTTTTAACACCAGAGGCTGACCTCCTTTGGGGAAATTAAATAACAAAATGAACCAAATGCTCTTTCACCAAATTACCTCACCATGAAGGAATAAAATGTTTCTCGTTTTACCCAAGTCCCGGAAATACTAGAGGATATGACACGACAGTGAGAGTACTGTTTCACTTTGATGAAGAAGAAAGTGTAAAGTGCTAGCAGAAAATTGAAGAAACCTCGACAAATTGTTCCCGTAAATCGCGGCCTCTTTGAGTGTACGAGCCCCATTGTATAAAGTGGTTTGTACCAGACAGAATACCCCAATCATACGGAAGTGAAACCTTGATTATAGGATAGCTAGTAGGTAGTTCAGGAGTCAAAATAAGTAAATTATAGATGAAATAATGAGCCAATGATTAATAATAATGATTTTATAATTATCCTCATTGTAAGGCTGAACTGATTAATTAATTACTATGAAATTATGCTTAAGTAGTCATTGAAGATCTTTTAAAAATAATGACGATTACAGAAACAACAATGCTTCAATATTGGAGATGGAACAATATTTTATATTTTTCTTGACTCATGTTTTCGCTAAGTAGCAGTAAATGCACTTTAATTTGATAAGAGAACAAATAATAATAGTAACAGTGATTGTTTGAGTATTTATATACATTTATATAGTAACTGTTCATTTATCACCCATAGAAACAAATATGGACCCATGAAAAAAATATATTTTTCAGTTTTTGGGAGGAGGAAGCTTCAGCCCCGAAGGCATCCCCTCCGCCCAAATAAGATTAAACGAAGTCTGATCTAGTATAAGATAAGACCCGCAAAGCCTGGTATCTTGTACCGGTAAGGCCCAAAAACAAGAATAACGAAATTATTGTAGACATCATTAGTGATAAACACATTCAGATTTAATTAAATATACTTCTAGAGAGAAACAAAGTTTATATTCGTTTTTCGCACCTAAGAAAATCCTTGGATTGGGGAAACATAGTTTAACATATACATTTAATTACTCCAGATACCCAGAAGGTTTAAACAAAAAAATATATCAGTCATGTATCTATAGAATAGTATGAGGGAAATAATGTTGAATCAATTCATACCACCTGAAAGGATGAAGGAGGGTATATATATATTAGAGAAACATAGTATTTTACACCTCGAAAAACTCATTAATACAAATTTTCATTGTAATCGAATAATAAAATTGTTTAAGTCAAAATATTCTCTTAGGTTGGAACCTTCGATGTTTTTTTTTTGAAAATTATAAAAATAGTGATAATTTCAAAATGTATACCCACGAAATTCCGTAAGTATTTAGTGGACTATAAACTACTCGAAATGGCATAAACCCGACATTTGTAAACAAATTAGAATAGGAATAAATATAATAAAATAAAATCTTTTACAGAATTTTTCTTTAGTTATTCCGTTTAAAGTTATAAAATCTAAAAAATATTAATATGGGTTGGTAGAACAGTACTTCAGATTTTGTAAGATTGTAAGCAGTGGCGTTTCTCAGGAGGGCGCATCTCTATACCAGGCTCTTTCCCCACCCTTATCCATACCCGGACCACTACCCATTTCTCCTCCAACCCTACCCATCTACCCTACCTTCTTACATTAGAAAATGTGATGTGAAAAATCTCCCCCTTGTATCACATTAAAAAATTCGTCTTTTAGGATGAATTTTTCCTAGATTTCTCTTTTATTTAAATAGCTGATTTTTGGAACTTTTCTCTACTATCTAAGGGGGGCGTACCCTCCCCAGCTGGATCTGCTAGTGTTGGTATATGTACATATGTATATATATATATATATATATGTATATATGTATATATATTCATATTTCATATAATTGGTATGAAAACTACTTAGGCACCAACCTGCAAAATATAAAGATTTCATGAAAAACGGATTGTCAGTAACAGATCCATATGAGATGATATGCCCATCATATGGATTTGACTGCAGACAGGCAGTGGGCCAAATTTGTTCCTTGATATCTATAACATAAAGAAAAAGAATTTGGTTTTGAAAACAAAGTTTTTTAACCCTCTGTACAATATAATACTTCCTTATCATTAGTAGAGAGGAAGCAAAAGTGTAAAACATTTTTGAACTAGTTATTTGGCAGGTGAAATTAACTTTAAGAGACAAATAGAATTTTTTTATTGATATTTAGCAATATCTGATAATGCTTTATCTTTGATAACAAAATAAAATAAAAACTTTATTTACAATGTATGGGATACTTAGACTACCTTGAAATTTTAAATAATAATCATTATCATTGTAGTATCTATCCTAAAATGAAAGAAAGAAGTTGTTTGATCTGTTTTTAATGTTTTCCTAATATAACAGAATAAACTTCAGTTAGCATTTAAAACCTTTAAGAAGTGGTTTTTAGCCCACAAAAAGTTTTAATTTATGAAGTTAAATAAAGTTAATTTTGATTACATTTATATATTTTTAAAAATACTTATCATTGCATGATGTTCTATTATATATATATGTGACATTTGATGAAATACTTTTCATAAAATCAAAATGTTGAAATCACAACGAAATAACTAAAATGAAGTATACAATAATGTAAATAATGGAATCTGCCCACAGGAAAGTGTTGACACTCCGATTGTTGAAAGAAGAAAGAACTGGTTCCAGCGACAGGTGCAGAGAATGAGCTCTGTACGCCGCTCTTCTTCGACAACTTATAGCTCTGGTCTTTTTGGTGGAACAAGATCGAGGCACAACTCAGTTTATGCCACACCAAATGAGGGTGGAATACTGCCTACGTCTGGACATTTTCCACCACTGCCAATTCCTACTAGCCATCAGCCAGCAACTCACAAAATGTCTATTTACGATCGACTTCTAAGAAGAAAATCTACACGAAGAGGTAAACTTCTTCACTAAATATATAGTCTAGAATTGGGATTTTCGAACTTTTTCATTCTACTGAATATTTAAAAATACTAAAATATTTAAAGCAATCCATCTTCATTAAAAAATTGTCATCAAACTATCACCAAATTATGGAGCAAATACAAGGAGTGTGTATTAATTTTAATATCACTGTGCCTGTTTACATAGATTTTATTGTAAATAAATGTTTTATTTTTTCAGTAATAGTGCTGAATAAATAAATATTAAGTAATAGTACTGTAAATAAAACATTTTTATTTATTCATTAACGATTGAAAATTATTTTTTAATCAAAGCATGGTTTTATTATTAAGAATAGTAACTAAAGGCTTTTGTTTTTAGTGATAGTAACTTAAAGTAAGGTTTGTCAAACAAATGATTCCAAATACTTTTTGGAGAGTTATTTATAATCTGTACTAGAATATTATTTCATAACATTGCTCTTAAAATCATTACTTTGCTCACAAATTTCTCATTATTTGATTTTAAAAAACTGTAGTTGTTATTATAATTTCAAATCTTAGATATTCAGTTTGAACTTGGAGAAAGAGATCCTGGTTTTTTTTTTTTTTTTTTCTTTTTTCAAGCTGTACATGAGGAAGCCAGGGACGATTTAAATAATCAGAAAACTTTGCAAATGAAAAGATATATGACTAAATAAATAATTTTTGAAAATTTAAAGTAGATTTTTAACTTACAAAATTAGTTTAAAAGATTTTTCTTTATCTTTCCAAGTAATTAGAGGAAATTTGTGTCAAGGATTTGTGCTAAGAGACTATAGACACCTATCAGAAAGATGCACCTACTACTTATAAAATGTTACTCAAATGTATCTTTATTACTTAATCAGGATCGCTTTATTACTTTAAAAGTAATAAGCCTCTTTAAAAGTATATTTATTTACTTTAATATACGTATAGAACCAAATGCTCCTAGAAGTTTCAAAGAAATTTCAAAGGATAATATAATCAATAAAGTTTTTCTGAGAATAAAAAAATTGTGATTTCATAGAATAGATATATTTATTATGAAAAAGGATTTTTCCTAAAAACTCTTTAAATTAAATAAATGTTTTGTTTCTAGGACCAGGTATATTGAATGGGAATATGCCACCAACGTCACACAGGAACAGGCCTAGAATACCAACTCCTGATGTAGGCAAAGATGGTGTGGATAAGGATAATAAATTTGTATTCCCCCATAATAACAATAATAACCACATGGGAAATGGCAATGTCAGTGCTCAACCAGTACAAAATACTTTTGTTTTAACTGAAGCTCCACAAATCATGCAAGTAAGTGAGCAATAAATATTAATAATCCATTTGACATCCGATAGAGATAATATCATATCATATGAATGTTAGAAATCCAATTATTAATATTCTAATTATGTGCAGTCACAGAATACAATCAATAAAACAATTTTCCTTTTAAATATGAAAGCCATAATAGTTATAAAAAGCTTAGCAAACTCGAAAGTTCGATGCTGACACCACCAATCGCTGTCGACACACCTCCTTCCACCATCCAAACCCAGTCCCTTCAAATCAGCCTTAACGCAACATTCCCACCTTCACTTCAGTCCACCCTCGGACGTTTATCAGCCAGAACAACAAATTTTAATCTTTTAGGAATTCTTTCGTTACTAATTCCAACAATTTTACAGGTCCATTTAATTTGCTGTGATGTAATCATCTCAATTATATTAACTGGATACAATTCATGCAATTCGGCATTGTGTAACCGTCTGAACACTCTGGTTAACTCATCCTTCTGCGGTCCAAATATTTTACTTCTTGTCTTTGTCTTCTCCTTCGTGCCATTACTAGCATCAAGGAGCCTCTATCCAATGCAGCCATGCCTCTCAGTCCCTACTAAGCCACCTCATTTCTTGGAGGGTTCTTTTTTTATTCTATTTTTGCCTCTTTTCTTCCATATTCGCTGCATATACCCTCGATAGAAAATTCTGGGGCGGCCACTCAGCCTTCTCCCAGAGGTTCAAATTTCCAGAACCTTTCGCGGATCTCTCTTCTCCAATCCAACTAACATGGCCAAAACACTCCAACTGTCGTTTTTCCGGTAATGTCCTCAGCTCTGCTACCTCCAGGTCCTCTCTTTTGCGTTCATTCCTGATGTAGTTCCTCCTGTTCTTCCAGCAGCTCTCCGCAGGAACTTCATCTCAGCTGCTGTCGCACTCTAGCTAACTGGCTTTGTTGCACATTATCCTGCTTCGCTTCCATACGCGAGGCGTTGGGAGGCTTTACCTGACTTGTATATGTACCTTTTTGTTTACGGACCAACTTCCCTAGTGCCCAACTACGGCTTTTGCCGATAGGGTATTTAGGGCACTGGTTTTTCTGCTTTTGGATATCGCTTTCATATCTTCTGGGTCAATCTTCCCAGTGTTGTGGATAATTGCTCCCTCAATAGGTGAATTCTTCACAATTTCAATTACCTCCACGTTACAGATCAGTGGATGTCTCTTGTTCATTCTTGATATGACTAGAGTCTTTGCTTTTGGAACTTATTGATAATGATACCTTTGAGGAGGAGTTCTTACTTCCATTCTATAAGGGCTGGCTGCAGCTTGTCTTTCATGTTCGCAATCAGAACGATGTCATTGGCATATAGTAGGCTTTGGACCATAATATTCATCATGTTCCATTTTCCAATGACCATACGATGCTTACAAATTTTATGGATTTCATCCATAAATATGATGAACAACAGAAGACTTAAGCTGTCTCCCTGTCTTACTCCTCTTTCCATGGGTAAAAGCTTGGACTCTCTCTCTAACATTAATCCTTACAATTCCTTTTGCTGTCTTATAAGCCGATCTAATTGCTGTGATAAGATCAGCTGGAACATTTTTTGCAATCCCATATTTCTTGTCTTGTAATGGAGTCAAATGTTGCTTTGAGGTCCAGAAATGTCATGTATATTTTCTTGTCTTTATCTCATGCTTTCTCTGCAATTCCCCTTAGCATGAAAATGTGATCTTGAGTCTGCCCCCTCCCCCCGGACAAAAGCCTGCTTGTTCGCTCTCTATTTGGTTCTCGACTCTATGTCCTTATTTCTTTCTAAGATTGAGGCGGTTGGCAATGGAAGTAAGCTTATAGGTCGTAGTTTCATAAATCTGTGTAGCTGCCTTTTTATGAATATGGTCAAATTAACTGAACTTGCAATCCTTGGGGTCTATCCTTTATATCATGATTTTTTGAAGGAATTGTTGGAGAAATTTAATTAATTCCTGTCCTCCAAATGTTATTAATTCAGGGGCTATGCCATCCCTTCCCATTGCTTTACCCATTTTAATTTTTTGGATAGCATATTGGGAAGCATTTCCCGCCTTCAGCCTAACCTTAATCTCCCCTTTCATTTCGTTTTTTCTAATTATTATAGACCCTAGATACCTAAACTTCTCTAATTGTTCAAACATATTCCCCTCTATTTAGATATCATCAGAATTATCACCATTTTTGCAGCTAACCATGTTTTTCGTCTTATCCGTATTTATTTCGACCTCTAGTTCTTTACCGGCTTTCAATAACATTGTCGTATTTAGATTTATAGTTTCCATGTCTTCGCTTGGAACAGGACCAAATCATCCACACATCCAAGCACGGGTGTTATCCCACCCAGATTACACCCTTTTTCCGTAAGCCTCACCTCCCTAATGGCATGTTCTAATACCAAATCACCAGTGAAAGGGAATCACCTTGTTTTAAACCCGAATGAACCTCAAACTTTTCGGATAAATAATTACTGATTCTAACTATATTGGGAGTTTTCGTAAAGCACATCTGAAATAGATTTACTAATGTTTTTGGAATCCCCTGGAATCAATTAGAATATTATACAGCTTCTGGCGGTCAATAGAATCATGAGCCTTTTTTAAGTCAATATACAGCTGATGAACAACACCGTTGTTCTCCAATTTTTTCTCCAATATTTTCCATAAAGAATATATTGGATCAATAGTTGAACGGTTCTGTCTAAATTCGCATTGATAATCTCAGATAATTTTGTTGGCGTATTCCGTGATTCGATTGGTAAGTGATAATGTGAATATTTTATAACACACCGGAAGGAGTGAGATTCCTCGATAGTTATTACTATCCATCATAGACCCCTTTTTATGAATCGGAATAAGTATAGAGCTAATCTTTCTTGATCAAGAATTCTTTCTTGATCCACAAAAGATTTTCCTTCTTCATCAGAACATTATTCACTAAATTTGGATTTAAATCTAAATCAAATACTTGCCATACAATATTCATATAAGTAAAGCATAAATTGAAGGATCCCGTCAAATATACCCAATGAGAAAGTAACATAACACAAATTCTTTAAAAAGAAATATTTTATATTTTGTATGCTTCCTTTGATTCTGGTAGAAAAAAAAAAAAGAAAAGAATATTATATAAGAAAAAGTATATATTACCACACATGCTATTATTAGAATTCATTTCTAAAATATCTCCTAAGCTTAGCAAATAATTCTCAATTAAAGCTAATGAAATTCTCATGAAATTACAAGATTTTATTGTTTTTATAGGTTTTACTACCCATTGCTGAAGCAGATGGAAACCAATCAACTATAACTTCAACTGGGAGCACAGCAGCCCTGGCACAAGCTGTTCTATCACCGACTTTGAAATCTGCAGGTTTTATAACACAACCAGTAACAGTGGCAACTGTTACTCAACCAACAGTAGCTATTACTGGTCCAATCCTTCCAGGAATTTTGACCACAAACAATAGTGGTGGAAGTGTGAAAATAACAGAAATCACAGAAGATAGCGGCTGTGGCAGCTCAAATGGAAGCCCATCCAGTGGGGAAGATAGAAGTAGGAAGACTAGCACTACTTCTCAAAGAAGGGGAGAGGTGTATGTGTAGTGTCAACTATCTAAAACTTTAGAATTCCTTTAATAAATTCAGTGATAAAACTATAAGTTTGAATACCAATTCTGTAAATTAGTGTTTTAATATTTTGTAAATATTGAATGTACAGACTAGATCAATTTTTTAAACATTGATTTATTTGTGATCAAATTATATATATATATATGTGTTGACTGTTGGGTTATTTTTTGAACCTCTGTAGTCAATAATAAAATTATTTGAAACAGAATGGTAGGCCAAACAACCAATGAGCTCAAAGGGAATTTTTTTCTAAATAATTAAATTTATGCTATATTCTTAATAGTTCTCTATTAAGGTTAGTGGGAAACTAGCAGTCGTATTTATAAATAAGGAATTAGGAACAAAATTTAGGTAGAATTTTAGTTCCAAAATGAAGAAAAATAAAGAAGTATTTTGGATCTGGAAGTTACCTCTGTTTTGAGTGCATTTTCACTCTGGTAATACTTTACCTCACTGTAAATAAAGCCATTTGATGTGTAAGTCTTTGTGATTATTTAACTGTAATTATTTGTTTGCATTAGTAAAATAAGTATGTGGGGAAAGTAAGGGTACTATAAAATAATCATTTATAAATAATTTATGCAAAATTCTAAATGAAAAAAAAAATTTAAGAATGTTTACCAATAAATAAGATGTAATCTTTGCAGAAATAAATTTAAGACTGGTTTGCAGATATTGTTTGATTAAAACAACAAATCTGTGAAGGAAAACTATTTATTTTTTAATTAATATCAAGAATTTTTATTTTAATATGGAGTGTGAATACAAATTTCTTGAAGTAGAAAAGATTTAAATATCAAAGTGATACAAAATACATTTAAAATAATTACGGACTTTTATTTATTTATGAGACATTTGTATTTTAAAAGTATTTATTTGTTTTAATTTTATTTGATTATTGTAAGATTAGGTTAGGCAACTTGGCACAATGTCATGGGAATTGTTTGATATTGTTTGCACCAGTAAAAAGGCTGTGTAATAAGTACTGTTGTGCCATGTACATGGTCAGAACATTTATTTTTATATATTTTTTCAAATAAATGTCTGATTGGACTATGATGTAAAACTACAATGAACTTTTTTATCTGTATTGATAACATATGCTTGGTAAATTATTGTATTATTATCAATGTGCAAGGGAATAAAGAAGCAATTGTGTAAGATGGTAAAATTTAAATAATATGTAAGCAATGAGAGCTTTTTATTTGTATTTAAGTCATGAAAAAAATGTGATTATTATTATTGTTATGTAATCTTGTTTTATCATAATGAAAATTATGAAGAAAAATAATGTAAATACGATTTTGTATCTATACTATAAGCTGAAATTTTTTTTAAAAATAAATAAAAAATTTAAAACTTGAAAAAGAGTAAGTAATTGGATGCATAGAACTGAACTGATATAGTTGAATTTTACAGTTTTATCCACTTCAAGTAAATTGAAATTCAGTTTATTGTACATTACTTTCTCAAACAAAAAAAATTAAAGTAAATATTTATAAATATCTGTATTCTTATTTTATTTAAAACTTTAATAATAAAAGATCAATTTAATGTGATCTGACAGACAATGTATAGAATCTGATTATTCCTATCATCTATAAACAAATTTATGAACCCGAATGGCTGAATGACTACAGTCCTATCGAACTGATATATTGTTTTCTTTGTTATTAGTTATAGTCTTTGAATTTAAGGAATATGTAGATATGCCCATTCAAGCCAATGGATATGGGTAATGAGTAAAAAATTATTATTGGTGTAATTGCCACATGTATAAATATGATACTAGAAAATCTGTATTCAATTTAGGTTTATAATTGAACAGAATATAGAAGTTAGAACTAGAAATTAAGATAATAAATATAGATAATTTATCATTGTTTGATTGTGTATATGTTAAAATAAGAAAATAGCCGTCCATGTATTATTTTTGTATATATGATGCATACAAATAAATAACTAAATTGATTCTTTATGATTTCTATTGACAAGATTAAACCATAACAAAATCTATACCTGTGTCAATTAGTAATTTGAAAATGTACTCTCTAACAAAGCGTTTTTATTAATTTATTTTATACTTCTACTCTATTTACAACTTAGCAGTTCCACGGCATCTAGCTAATTAATTTCTGTAATTCTGCTTGATAATGACCTTGATTTAGTTCTTGATGAAGCAAGAGGAAATTGATAGATCGGGTGGATTGGGATGATTTTATGGTAAAGAGTGAAATGTAGTGTATTTGCAATGTTTATATATTTGCATCCACAGATATGCAAAGACAGACTATGATTAGTTTTAGCATATTTTAAGTTGCAAAAAAAATAATAATAACAGTAGTATGTTGAAAAATTAAAAAGTATTCATTACATCTTCTTGTGACCAGCAGGAAATCATTATTTGAGCAAAACGTGAGCAAGTTAGTTAGAATTGGATGTTATAATCGATGAGCTTTTGGGCTATTTGTAAAAACTTTTTGCTATAACATAAACTGTTCAAAGGGATCCATGAAAACAAAGAATCTTGCTCAACACGTGAAAGCTTGTCATTCACTTAAGCTTTTCATTATAATTAATTTCATATAAAGAAGATGGTAACATACCTAAAATTTCTTCCTATAAGTCAATGACCATCTCTTAGGCTACATGAACATGCAGATAGACTCATAAAATTAGCCAATTTACTGCAAATCCACTTGAACTTTTTAAAAAATACATATTAGCAAAGTAGCTAAAATGATCAACCTTGGAATGAAATACTTTCATCATGATAAATGCATGCTAAGTAAAGAGATTTTTCTCCCTCAATAAATGACAATCAACTTATTGTTGAACTAATACTAAATGTTTACCAATACTTTAATTAACTTTGCAGGTCTTTGTCATAAATAACTTCATAACAATAAGTAGTAAATTCATATACTCACTTAATAAATGAAAATTTAAGTAAAGAATTCATAAAATCAAGATAATATTTAGAAAAATAAAATACAGCCATAGGCACAGACTTCCAATTTTGATAAGGGGCCTTGAAAAAAAAATGAAATGAATCAGAAAAAAAAAATGAAAAATTATGAAATGAACCAATATAATATTGAATATTTAAAATTAATTTGTTTTTGTTTATAAAGTTGTAAGGATTTGTATTTATTTACTTTTTTTTTTTGCTTATTATACATACTTGAAAATATATTTAAATTTTCTTATATTTTTAATCCTCCTTTATTTAAACAATGTTATTTTTATTTATTTATTCTTTATTATTTTTTTAAGATATTGATATTGAAAATATCTAAAAAAAAAAATACAATTGAATATATAACATATTTGTTTAGATTAAACATAGAAGGCAGGGAAGACAGTCTTCCTAACGTTGGTGCGGTTGGTGAATTTCTTGAAGTATTTCAGCTAAAAATGAATAATGTAAAAAAGTGAAAAATGTCTAATTTCTTAGAGTGTAGATATTCCCCCAAATAAAAATACATTTTTCACAATCTGATTAGTTGATCGCAGAAAATATGATTGAATCATAAAAATACTGGGATATGTTGATATATATGCCACTGCCATTGATTATATTATTTTTATTTGTTATTGTTCTTTATTTTATACATGCTTTAGGGTTTGTATTTATTTATGGGAACAATAAAAATAACATTTTCCTATAGCACAGTCCAGTACTCAGCTGTGCATCTTCCATGGTGGGACTGTGCCTTAATAATCTCTTTTCAGTCCAGCGGCTCTCTGAAGACATCTTCAGACCGTTCATCTTCAGATCTTCATCATCCGGACACAAATTGTGGCCGGTCTTCTCTATTTCGAACATCTTTGACAAGTGCACGGGACACTCTCTGCTCCCAGCACAATGCCTTTTTGGTCTAGTATCTTCCCTGACATCATACAATTCTTGCACTTTCCTAGAGGAGCTACTTTTCCTAACCAGGCACTTGTTTGCTTTATGCCCGCAATATATTTTTTTTTTTTACTTGTTCTCCTCTACCTCATCTTTTTAGGCTATTTGGGGATTTTCTGAGCCAGGGAGTGAGGGCGGGGAATTTAAAAGACCCCCAGGCACCAGGACGCAAACTTGTAATTTTCTTGTTTCCAAAATTTGGTTATCAGTTTGCCAGGCAACGAGCGCTGGTGTGCACACACATTAGTCCGTTCGTCCACCTCACCCCCATTTATGCCCACACTTGCCAAACCATCTGCATATAAGGCCATTCTTACACATAACTTTGCTATGACTATATTCCTGACATATCAGGCATCCAAGGGGAGCAGCATACAAGTAGTCCCTAATGCCAAATGTTCAGAACTTTTCCATCTGCAAGACTGCTGTTCTCATGGACGAATGAACCTCCTCAATAATCTCCCATTCACTCCCCTTGGCCAGGGAAAATCCCCGTATAGCCTAAAAGGCGAGGAAGAGGTGGATAAAAAAAACAACAACAAAAAAACAGCATCCCCTAGGGCAGATAGGATTTTCCGATTTCTGTAATTTTTTTTTTTAAATCAAATATTTTTAGTTTTACTTAACAATATTTGCTATAGATAGTAAGTATTGCGATTGTGAATCGAAAATATGTTGTGCATATTCCAAATCGAGCCGAAAAAATTTAACTTAAAAAATTAACGAGTCAATGAATCTTCCAGGGATCGACGTATGTAGGTATTGTAGCAGAAACAAATATACCAAAGACCACCACTACATCGGCCATTACATTCATTCCATGGAAGTGCTTATGGTCACTTGCGGATCCAGGAGGTAGACAGTTCCGGAGGTAGAAGCAATTCTAGGCTTCTAGTAGATTACTCTATTACATCTATGTTCCTCTACCATCTCTTGGACACATTCAATAAATGAACGTTCCCTGGGTAGGCCTTCCCTCTTTCCGGTTTTCTACCCAGTTGCACCTTGAGAATAGTTGACAAAAAAGCCATCTTTGGCCAAAGATCTACAAGGTCTGTAGAAGCCAACCGAAAAAAAAAAAAATTTATATATATATATATATATATATATATATATATATATATATATATATATATATATATATATATATAAGTTAAGTGTAGTGGACTTAAAACAATTAAAAAAAAAGGAAGAGGTTCACAAAATGAAACGCATGAAGTCGGAATCAAGACTGCTTTATTGTTCCTTCTAAACCTCTATAAATACATTCTGAGAATGTTTACATCCTTTTTTTTAAATTGTTTTAAGTAAACTACACTTAACTTATATATAAATATAAATTTTTTTTTTTCGGTTGGCTTCTACAGACCTTGTAGATCTTTGGCCGCCTGAATCAGCCTTCTCCACCTCTACCTATCTTGGGCTACTGCTTTCCAGTTAGCGGCATGAAGCTCAGCTGTATCCTTGTTTATCCTATCTACGCATCGGGTTTTTGGCCTTCCACGTGGTCTCTTGCCTACTAATCTGGCATTCATTGTCGTGTAAAGGCATCCTGATGGATTGCTACGAGCTACATGCCCTGCCCATCCTGTAATCTTAACCTCCTTGCCTTCACGTCATGAGATATTGACTGACCCGTTTCTTTCAGCAGTTCTTTATTGCTCCTTCCACTCCAAGTGTCAAGGTTCTGGTTCCATGTAGGTCCTGTTATCCTACGTAGAACTTTTCTTACGAATCTCTCAATTCTGGCTTCTAGTGTGGCGGTTAGAGCCCATGTTTTACAACCATACAGCAGAAATGGCTTAATCATGGTGATGTACACCCTTATTTTGAGATTTCTGGATTTCAGTACCTTTGAAAGGGAGAAGAAAGATCTGTTCGCACTTGTTATTCGCTGGTCTACCTCTGTTAGGTGATCATTTATTGAGGTTATTGTGGAGCCAAGGTATTTGAGTCTGTCTACTTTCGGGAATGAATTAGAGTCCACGCAGATCATGTTATTAGGGTGGATGTTTCGGCTATCATGTATTTTGTTTTACCTACATTGACCTGTAGTCCGATTTGCTCTGCTTCTTTAAATAGAGTCTGAGCGAGTCTCTCAATATCCTCTTGATTACTTCCGAGGACGGCTATATTATCGACATATGCTAGGATTTTATGTTTCATTCCAACGTGCACCCCTCCATCTTCGGGTGATGTTATTCTTATTACTTTCTCTAGTGCTAAGTTGAACAGCATCGGCGAGAGTCCATCTTCCTGCCTCAAACCCGTTCTAACTTCAAAGGCTTCAGATACTTCTCCTTGCATTAGAACCCTGCATTTAGGATCATTCGTACACACCTTCGTCAACCTCACCAATTTCTCGGGAACACCCAGCTCAGTCATGATCTTCCAGAGACAGTTTCTGTTTAGGATGAATATCTGATCTAGTGTGCTCCTCCCTCTCCTGAATCCTGTTTGATGGTCGCCTATTATGTTTTCATAATACGGATATATCCGATTTAGCAGACTATTAGTCATTATTTTATAGGCGACCGGAAGAAGTGCCATGACTCTGTAATTGCCACATTCATACATGGAGCCCTGCTTAAGGATAGGACAGATCAACCGTGAGTTCCATGCTTCTGGTATCCGTTCCTTCTCCCATATCTTCTGGATTAGATCTAACAGCTTGGCTCTAAGTTCTCCTTCCCCATCCTTGAACAATTCTGATGGTAGGTTGTCTATTCCTGGAGCCTTTCTTCTTTTAAGTCTACCGATAGCTATTTCCTCATCCAGAATATCTGGTTTTTCAACCTCAAGTGGGTCGATGTCCTCAGTATATACATAGGATAAATATATATATATATATATATATATATATAAAAGAACTAACTATCTATACAAAATGGTGCTTAAGTGATTCTTTAAGTTATATTTTACCATTTTTGGGGGGATGGCTTTTGGGCTGAAACAACAACTGGGACACCAACTCCTAGTTATTTTCTCATCTTAACTTCTGTTTTATCTCCTCCCTCCCATGCAGATCCGCCTGTGCTTACTGCTAATATCCAGAGAATAGGTCTTTGGACCAAATTTATTTTTAAGTCAATCTCTTGACTATTAAGTGACACATTTATTAGGCATAAGAATAATGTTCCAAGTAAAACTATACCAATCTCGATAAAATAAGGCCAATATATATAGATCTTTGGAATAAATGTATCCACTCATCTTTGGAGGAAGGGAGAACAAAAAAACCTTAAACTCTACTAATCTCGATGTATCGGCTGATATCGATAAATGGCCAAAAGGTGGATATTAACATCAGTAAAAATTTGTTTGCGGACTATGGTTCCTTTTAAAAGTATGATAACATTTTGACGATGATATTAATAACATATGGATGATATGACATGTTTTTATAGTTTCATGAATTTTGAATCTTTATTTTTTGGTCCTCCCTTTCCTGGTCTTTTAGGCTATGTGGGTTTTTCCAGGATCATGGGAGTGGAAGGAGGAATAATGCCAAATTTTAAATCCTCCCTGCTCCTGGGACAGGAACTCCTAATTATTTTATCATCTTAACTTCTGTAAATCAGGTTGCTGGGCAATGCATGTTTAGCACACCAATTTGCTCTTTGAATCTGTTTTATTGGTCCCCTACAAGATATTGAGTAACATTTTGGTACATGTCAGGGTTGTCACAAGATTTGGTACTTGTTTATTAGCGGGTAACATCAAAACCTCCTTGTTATCTAATCTTATTTCACATAACCTCTAATCTTATTTCCCTTATCTCCTCTAACCTAAGTTATTCTCTTGTTTATTTTTTGTTGCTTGTGTGAGATGTGAGTTAGTCTTATTTAATTATGGATGTTGTCAAATTGTGGGAATTGCCGCTTTCAGAAGAAGAGGCGATCAAATATTTTCAAGATGGCAGGATATTTGCAAAGGTGAAATATTGTGATGAAGGTCATCTAATGAAGTTCGACGGGAAGATTAAATGGAGATGCTTTCATAATTGTAACAAAACCGTTTCTATAAGGAAAGGAACGTGGTTAGACAGGTCGAGGATTTCTTTTCGAGGATCCATCAAATGGGGTCCACACTCAACACATAAAAAGATTATGGCTCAGCTAAGTAGAGAAATTAAAAACAGAGGAACTGCCAGACAACACCTCGATTCATATTTATGTGGAAGAGGATCCCTTCCTTGCTTTTTTAAATACCATAAAACTATTTTCCCTACCAAAATAAATTAAGTTAAAATAAAATTGTTTATAGTGTTTATATCGTTTCTTTTATATGTACATATGTTCTTTATATGTCTTCATAGTGTTTCTATTATATGTACATATGCTGTTTAAATGGTTTTGTATTATTTCATTTATTTTTGTCTATTGTTTGCCTATTTATTTTATTTCATTTATTTATATATATGTTGCAAGTTTTTTAATTATATATGTATAGTGTTTTGGTCTATTTAATATATATCTTGTAAAATTAAAGTATTTTTTTATCATTACATTTGTATTTGTTTTTGTTCACAATTTCAATAATATCAATACAATACAATAAATATGAATACAAACGTATAATAATATGAATATAATACAGTAAATATGAATAAGAAGATATTATCAGTGGCTTATCAGTTATCAGTGCTAAGGTTATAAATATTGGCAGATAGCAGTCGGACGCTACCCGCTATTAAACAAGTACCCAAGATTGATATGTCATTTAACCGAAAATGCAGAAATTTTAGTAAAAATGGTTTGTTTTATCTGAAAAAGGTACATAATCAAACGATTTTTTCAGAAGAGGCATTTTTTAATTTGTGTGGTTTCACAAACCTATCATGGTGTTTTGAAAGATTATTGAGCCTGAAATAAACTATTCCACAATTATTTTGAGGGCATTTCCTTTATTATTTAAGTAAACACATTTTCATGCTGCTATCATTTTTTTTTTTTTTTAATTTTAAGTTTGTCGGATTTGGAGAATCCACTGATATCAATCTTTTCTAAGAAAGTGAGTTTCTTTTTTAAGAAATAACATTAGGTTATTAATGTGAATACATAGTGGATAGGTAGTTTAAGGAACAACAAAAAACTGGTTACCAGTTCAGGACAAAAGGAAAACAATAATATTAAAAATATACATATTTTTCTAATTTTTATTCCCAGTAACTTCAACAAGCGATATAATCTTATTTACTGCCCAAGCAGTATAATAATATAAAAGATATTCTGATATTGAGTAGACACATCGAATGTTGATTTAAGCATGTGTCAAAATAATGAGACCTACTTAAACATGAATAGGTCTCCTTGGACTGAATAATCCACTTGTTTATACAATCAAGGCTAATTGTACCTAACTTAAAAAAGAATTTACTTAGAAGTAATATTTTGGGATATCTTAATAAAAAATATAGTATTTAAATGTAATTATTATTCAAATGTGTAAATTTAAGATTATGGCAGCACCATTTTATTTTCTTACAATTATATTCTTGCAGATTAATGGCAATGTACTCAACACACACCAGTACTATTTTATTCTTACATTTATCACAAAGTTGTGCGTCCAATTGGACCTTTTCCTTCTTTTTTTTTCAATAGATATTTTTTCATATTATTTTATATTTTTCTAAAAAATTTATATTTACCTATTATTTGTTTAATAAATTTAAATTCCTCGGCAAAATATTAATTATAAACTTTATTACTAACCATAATTTTTAGATCTTTAAAAATTTATTTATTTTGACAATGGAATAAAATTATATAACTTTTCGGACATTACAGTCTCTATCCATTTCTCTATATTACTGATATGCTAAGTCTAATACATATACCATTAATAAATACAACAACGTTTATGCTTTAGAGTACATAAATGAACAAATGCAAAATATTTAAAATTCAGACAAATCTTAACCTCTTATAATAAATGAATCACTCATAATAATTTAATTTCAACAAAAGAAAAAAAAATGTCATGCAAATATATTTACAACAATTTAAAACATCAATTCTTTCAGATTTAATATTTACATTTTTTATTAAAATTAGAAACAAATACATACAAAATACAATAATTTTCAAAAATTTCTAAACAAATTTTTACAACGGGAAAGTTGTCAGAATCGTTATGCTTTTTTTATTTTTCTTATTATTTTTTAGAATGTTAACAACTTTTTTAAAAAATTTTATTTTTTACTTTTAAATTAACTTGTCAAATGTATAACTAGAAAAAGTAACCTTTCACTGTCGAATTTATCACTTTATACAACATAAATTATACTTGCCAACAATAAACAATACTTCATACAAATGATTCCTATCCCCCAAAAATGTCAACCACTATACAAATAAATGCATGACAAGTTTCAACACCAAAAAAATTCTTCACAATGAATTCCTAAAATACAGTAAAGGAAAGGAAAAGAAATAAACTATCTACAATATTTTAAAATAAATATCCTTACAGCTCCGAATATTTTTTTTTATCAATATGTTCTAGTTTAGAAATGTTTTTAGATGAGATATTTGAATAGAAAAAAAAAAAAAAAAATTCACAGTACACTGCATACATTAACATTTACAAATGAGACCAACAGTATATCTCCATTAGTTAATTCGATGTAGTGAGGCCCGATACGATTCTTATATACACTTGTAAATATGTGTGAACATAAATGTGTATGTATTTAATTATGTACAAGAGAGCTTGCACTGAGGCTTTTTGCAGTTGAACTTCCCAGAGTCGATCCAACACACTGCAATTTAAGAAACACTTATGTAATAAAAAATTAACACGTTCCATGTAATATTTACTTACATCTATTCACTTAAATACATTATTGTCTTTTATTAAATGTTTTAAATATTTAATATCACTTATAATTAATTATAAGTAAGAAAATCAAGTTTCTTTTTTTCCATTTTCCAATTAATCATCTATTAGTCCATAAGATTTAACCAAGTGATCAGCGGCAGAAGGTTTGAAAATTGAAAACAGTAGAGATGACAACCCTAATGCCATAAACCCTCGAGTCAGACTAACTGGAAGCGTTTGGCTATTGTAGAATTTCAAAAATCGCAAAAACTGCTAACAATTACATGATCAGCAGCAGAAAAAAAACCTAGTGGAATAGTTTTAGACAACTCAGCAGATGACAGTAATAAATAAAGTCAGACAAAATTTTGGAAGCTTTATACGAATCTGACAGCTTTAAAAATCTCAAAAAGCCCCAGAAATTACATAACAGGTGGAGGAAAAAATCGGTTATAATACTTTCAGACCACTTTGTAAGTAACAAATTTAATTAAGTCAGACAAAATTTTGGAACCTATTTTCTCTGAAGAGATCACTTATATGGTATATTTAATGTGTTAGTGTAGTAAATTTTATTGAATGTATAGTGTTCATTAATTTTTTCTATTTAGGTAGTGGATGGATAGTTTGTGAAGGTGATCATGCTCTACTCTAGTTTGATGGGTTTCTATTGCCAGTGGAAATCAAAAACTTCAATAACATAAAAACTGAGGATGACACTGAATATGACATTAAACAAGAAACAGACTATTGTTCCGCAGATGACAAGGACAACTTAGATTTTTTAACCTTACTTCTAGTAATTTTTACAAACAAGTTTATAATAAATTAATAATGAGATAGAAATGTTAAGTTCGTTTTTGTTAATATAAATATCATCTGTTGTTTCTTTATTGAATATTTTGTACAACCTAGTGTACATAAAATGATAAATTACCAGCATAATTACGTGCGTATACACTCATTTCTTTAGATCCTGCCTATCAGTCGATGATATAGATAACTATATCATATACAATATTATAAATAGATAATTAGCATTTTATGAAATATAAACTACTTTTTTTTAACACATGACATAGTTAATGGTTAAATAATAAAATGAATTTGTGCGTCATTAATTTGAGATTTTTGTATATCAGATTGACCAACATTTTTCATAAATCTAATAGATAGGCTGAAATAGGCAACAGGGAAAATTCTTGGACCAACGGATTCCAATTTTGTGTTATACTGCGCCACAAGTAATAAGTGCTACATCAGATTCCTACAAAGTAGTCTGAAACTATTTGCTTCTCAAATTCGTGAAAAGTTTCCAAAATGTTGTCCGATTTTATCAAATTAGTTACCTCTTAAGTGGTATAAAACTATTCCAACCGTTTTTTGCCTCCTGCTAATCACATAATTTTTGGTAATTTTTCAAATTTGCATGTCAGATTCGTGAAAAACTTCCAAAAAATTCATTCAGGTTTTATAAAACAGCAATAATGAAATTACTGTGCCCTGAAAGTATTATAACCGATTTTTCCCTGCTGCTGTTACGTAATATCTGAGGTTTTTTGAGATTTTTAAAGCTGTCAGATTCGTAAAAAGCTTCCAAAATTTTGTCTAACTCGATTAAATTTGTTACCTACAAAGTGGTCTGAAATTATTCCCTAGGTTTTTTGCCCGCTGCTGATCACGTTGGCAGTTTTAGCAATTTTAGAAATTCTACTATAGCCAAAAGCTTCCAGGTTAGCCGTCTGATTTGAGGATTTATGGTATTAGGGTTGTCATCTCTACTGTTTTCAATTTTCAAACCTTCTGCCGCTGATCACGTGGTTAAATCTTCGGTAGATCCTGGACTATATTAGTTTGTAATACATTAAAATTCTGCAAGTAGACGCAATTAAAAATTAAGATCAATACAATAGTTAATATTTTCATAAATAACTAATATACAGTTTATATATAAAAAATGAACAGTAAAAAACAAAACAATAAATTTAGTTGTCATGCATAAGTTGGGTAGTTAACACATGTCTTTCAATGTACATGCAATAAAAGTTGTCAAAGTAGTAAAAGGATATCTTGGTGAAGCATTTGATGTCTAAGAAGAAAACATCATGAAATAATACTAAAAAACTGCATGAATTTATTTTGATGTGCTGGTGTTTTAGCTAAGAGATACATAACTTCTTTTTCTTACCTGTCAAGAATTTGATTACCAAATATGCAGAAGTTCACATTTTGTAATCGAGTTTTAGGAAAATGGGCTATTGTGACGTTGAAACTATTTTTTTGTGACATATTTATATGCTTCATTTTGGATCTTTTTGAGATTGAAATAAACATGCTCCCTATCTCACTAATTAGTATTAGTAGACCTACTAAGTCCCTCCCCACCTCTCCCCATCCGCCCCTCACCATGAGCGGATCAACTTCTAAAATAATTATATATCAAAGACACAAACCTGATAGCTGAATTGTGGGAAGTAAGGTTGTGTTGAATCATTTTCCTCAGCAATGCTATTTAGATGAGCGTTTTCAGGAGGAGTCAGTTCAACAGACTCTCCAGTAAATTCAGAATCGAAGTAGCTAGTATCAGTGTCTGAAGTAACTAATGGTTTGAATGGAGGTTGGATCTAGTAAAAATAAAAATCGCTGTGAATAAGCTTAATTTAAGTAATGAAAAAAATATACTCAATAAGATAACTATAATTACTTAATAAGTATTATCAATTATATTAACTAATAAGATGAGTTTAACCTAATATAAATATAACAGATTACATTAAAAAAAAAAATGAATAATACCTTTTTTTGATACAAATCAGTCCAATTAATAGATGAGAAAAAGACATGAGCCTTGATGTCCTTGGCATCATCTGGGCCACCTCCTAATCTTCGATTAGGGTCCTTAACCAGGAGGCCTCCAAGGAGATCTCTTGCTTCGCTAGAAATTGACCGGGGAAATTTCACCTAGAAAATTATTCAAACAAACAATATAGATAGAACTTAAAACTTAGGGGAAAAATTGTAGATTAGAATAAAGAAAACAAAATGAAAATTTTAATTCAGAAGTAAAACATCTTTTTGGAGCACTCCTTTTATTAACGACACCTCAACGCAGCAGATCTTTTGCTTACTAACTAGGTCTGGCATTCCATGAAATATTGTATTTTGTCGACTTCGGATAAAATATAAAATTTCGATTAACAAATGAATCTGAATAATTATAAAGATTGTATTCCAGTTTAAAATTTGTCTATCAATCCCTCTCTATTGAATAGACACTTCTTTTACGCTCAGTCTCATGTTCTAAATCTCGCTGCACCTGATAATTAGTGAACTAGAGATATTTGGAACAGTAAAATAATGTATAATGTACAATCGTTCCACCTTCTAATCTCTATGGACTTGCATTTGTTTTCTTATATTAAGTTCACTATTTCGCGCCTTAGTCTAGAATCTATCTGTTAACCATGGTCCACAATGCAGCTTTTAATATGCATTGTAAGAAAAGTCTTACTTCCACTAATTATGAATTTTCCATAATTCTGACTTATTTAGAAATATATTTTATACAAGATAGTTGAGGGGCTTTAAACTATAACAATGATGATGAATTTTGCATCATCCTGACTTGAATATGATAATTTAATAATTAACTTACTTCTTCCATAAGAATAAGAGTAAAGAGAACATCATGATCTTTGTTGTAGAAAGGAAGACGGCCACACATCATTTCATACATGACTACTCCAACGCCCCACCAATCCACAGCACGTCCGTAGTTGTTGTCTTCCAAAACCTGAAATTTATATCAACAATTTTTAATTTTAAAAATAACATCCATTCATTTATATACATTGCAACATATAATTTTTGCCTCCACAAAAAATATAAATGTGAATGTCAATTTATAAATATAAATGTAATTATATCCCAAGTGATTTCGAAGAGAAGGATGGTCGGGGTGATCAGTAAAAATAAATATACTTATTTATTTTTACTTTTTTTTTTTTTTACTGATCATCCCAACCATTCACTACAGTCAACCATCAATCTACAATTAATAATTCAAGTGACTTCTATAATCATGGTTCTAGTGATTTAAATGTAATAACTTAAATTTTTATGAACATTCATAGAATAAATAAAATCAAAATAAGTATGTACACATACTTATTTACCAACATTGTATGGTTTAAGAAATCAATCAGGTTTTTTTTATTTATTTTTTTTGACAAATGCTGAGACCTGCAAGACTTAGTGGAGGTCTCAATGTGGCTCACGACTTAGTATGCGTCTCAATGTGGCCTGCATGGCAAAAAGTCTAGAGACCGCCACCTGACAGTAATCTGAATATTAGCAATACTTATTCTTCTACAAACATTATGGCCCAAAAAATTAAAATTAAATGTGTTACTTACATCATACTTTCGTCATAAAATTAACAAATATTATGCTAAGTATGAATCACCTCAGGAGCCAGATATTCAGGAGTACCGCAGAATGTCTTGGTAGTCCTGCCGTAAGTGATATCCTCTTTACACAAGCCAAAATCTGCTATTTTAATGTGCCCATCCTTGTCCAACAGAAGATTCTCAAGCTAAAAGCATAATAAATTTAAATATCTAACAGTCCCCAGAAAAATTAAGAGAAGGTTGAAATCAATCACTACATTAAACTAAAATCATTCAATATATTTATATAACTCTATCTAGAAGGTTAAACTTGTATTTGAAAGCAGAATATATTTCAACATTCCCACTCTTGCTAGAATAGGCTAGTAACCTCTTAATCAGAACAGGCCCTGTTGAATTGCATAAGGGGATTATATATCTTAATAGACCAACAAAATAAAACTGAAAATTTTGAATCCAAATATATTTATCACTATGTAGAGCCAACTCGCTCCTGAGCGCTTGCTCATGGTTCTTTGAATTGCTTGGACTATGATTTACTGTACTTTAAGCAATAAAGAAAAATTTTCTGAACAATGAAATCTATCAGATATATTATAAGGATTGAAAAGTATGCTGAGTGATATAACAACTATTATTATTAATAGAATAGCAAAACTAGGGAAAACCATTTGAGACCTGAACATTGATTGAATTAAACCCAATCTTTTTTTTTTAATAGCTTTAAGATTTTACACAAAATCCTATTTTCCAACCCAAAAATAATTGAACATACTTTGAAAATAATAACATAACCATTCAAAAACAAAATCGCATAATATAAAGAATGCCAATGATTTCTGTATCATGACACTAACAAAGCTATTCTTAACTAAAATAAAATTAACATTAGATTGAATGATTTTTATACCTTCAATTTAATAAATACACGGACACAAATGTGCAATAAACTATTAGTTATAACATGGATAATTAAACTTACTTTCAGATCTCTATAAATGATACCCTCCTCGTGAAGATATCCTAGGGCAGAAATAATTTCAGCTCCATAAAATCTTGTTCGGTCTTCACTGAATACCCTCTCTCGAGAAAGATGGAAGAACAACTCACCTCCATTAACATATTCCATGACAAAACACAAACGATCGGCAGTTTGGAATGAGTACTTCAAAGACTGTAAAATAAAAACAATATTATCCCAAGTATAATAAAATAGATATTGATTAGTTTAATTATAGCCTCAGTTAATTAGTTAGTTTAACTAAGGCCTTTGACAGAATCGGGAATCATGAAATAGATGAAGCCATCATGAAAACAATAGGATTGTGGTCAGGATATGCAACATCGCTAGGATGTAGCCTACGTTCCCTCCTTTTAATAGTGGTATTGGAAAGGGGGTCCTGAGATAACCCAACAGAAAATGAGACTATTACATTTTGGCTCCAGAAGATTGCTTCATACCCAGTTCACTATACTAGCCTGCATAGGTGCATGCATGACATGGCAGTTTTTAGCAATAATGAAAAGAACTCCTGGTTTGATCTGCAGGTCCTGAGGGATAGACTAAGAGAAAGTAATAAGGAAATAAACGTGTTAAAGACACAAATTATGCATGCCGAAAGAAGGACCAACCAGGGGAACCGTGTAATTAGACCGGATGGAACTCGGACAAAACAAGTAAGCGATTTTAAATAACTAGGAATCCACTTTTGTTATAAGACAAATGATGGAAAAATGCTATGAGTATGACATTGATCTGCACTTGTTATTCATTGACTACAAGCAGACATTTGATAGCATCAAGAGATCAGCTCTGTTAAGAATGCTAATGACAAGTGAAGTGCCACATAAACATAATTAATTTAATACACATGACAATGGAAAATGCATCATAAAAAGTTATTATTGGAAATTAAGTTGGTCGATGGTTCTAGGTACAGTCTGGAGTGCGTTAAGGAGATGCCTTATTGGCAACACTATTCAACATAGCTCTGCATGCTGCTGTGAAAGATGCAGCTAAAAAAGGCACCATCGTGGATAAGACCTGGCAAATTTGTGCTTACGGTGATGACCTGGTGATAGCTGCATGAAGTGAAGAGGCACTTAAAGAGGCATTTGAGATTGTGTACGAAAATGGCAACAAAGTAGGACTTGCGGTCAATGAAAGCAAAACTAAATACCTGAAACTGTCCTCGGTAGCAAGTAGAAGATCCTGCAATGAAATTACAATAAAGAATTTATGTTCGAAAATGAACCCACATTCGTGCATCTTGTTTCTGCCCTAAATAATGAAAATGTAATCAGCAAGTTTTGGGTCTTAATGAGTAAATACAAGAGCCAACTCCAAGTAATGGAGATGTGCTACTTCTGAAGGATTAAAGATAAAACAAGGAGAGATTCAATGAGGAATATCACAATCCGATCCATCCTAGGTCTGCAAGATGCAAATCCGATCCAACCTAGGTCTGCAAGATGCAAAGGAAAAAATAGAACATCGCCTAAGATGGTTTGGACACATCTCTCGAATGCCAGAAGATAGAATAGCAAGGCTCATTCATGAGACACAGCTGAAAGAAAGAAAATCTAGGGGGTGGCTTAGGAAGATCTAAAGTGGAATAAAGTAAGCCTTTAACAAAAGAGGCACAGATCGGATGTGAAGAAAACAATTGGTCCAAGATAGAACTTATGGATCAGCCTCTATAAGCATAAGCCTTACTCTACTTAGCGGTAGATGCGAATGGATTAAGTAAATAAATTAATTGTAGAAGTTGGTTAGGATGTGCGGTGAATAAAGAAAAAAACATTAATAACTAAAATGTGCAATGCAAGCAAAAAAGTAAAACAAAAATAACAACACTTACAATTAGAAATGGATGACTGGTTGTTCGAAGCACCCTATTTTCAGTTAAAGTATGAGTAACTTCATCCTTCTGAATAATAACTTCTTTCTTCAAAATCTTTATTGCGTACAATCGACCAGTAGCTTTTTCACGACATAAAATTACTTTGCCAAATGTTCCTTTACCAAGGACTTTTAAAAATTCAAAGTTTTTTAATGTCTGCAAATTGAAATATTGAACATAATTATAATGATGATCAACAAAAATATAAGAGGGTTTTGGTACTACAATATGAATAAATAACTGATAATTATTCTCATTTTTCTTTCTTTTTTTATTTATTTGTTCTTGACCTTAATGCATGAGCCTTTCTTTTGAAGAAATGTTTAAAAAAAACACATATTTTATTTTTTGTAATAATGAACAATTCAAGACAAGTTTGAACACTCCTCGACCAAAAGATTAGGCTTAGGATTATGATAATTATTTGTACAATAACATATCCTTATTTATCCAATTGCATTTAAACAACAACAGATAATAATACAAAAATTAATCAAAAATACTCACAACTTTCTTCTTTCCTGAACTCTTACTGTTTGATGTCCCTTGTTCCGAGAATTTTACACTTAATTCTTCAACCGTTGACACAAACCCTTCACCACCACCCTCATTAGCACCAGGATTTTCCACTCGCATTTCAACATCATCTGATTCAGACAGCCTATCAGACACTCTTTGGATAGCAGCGACCCATTCTTCCCTAATCCAAAATTAAAAACAAATGAATAGACAAGTATAATACAGTTATTACCTATTAAACATATAATTTTATATGTTGTACCTCTAGCTGAATGTAAATAGTGCAACAATAGAAAATGTTAGATAGGTACAACCTTATCTAGAAGTAAGCGAACTTACAACTCATAAAACTTTAATATAAATTAAATATCCCTTTTCATATGTTACATACCTTTATATCGCACATTGTATTCTTAACAATCAGTTAATTACTTTTAATTGATAAATGGAATGCGATAACAACATGATACTAGGCCATTTGTTCTCAAATTTCTTCCAAAATTGAGTTATACCAAAAGAGTAATTTTTAAAATAGAGGCATATCAAGAACAATACGTTTGCATATCAGGAAAGCAGTGGTATTTTTTTTAATGTAGAGGATGGAATTCGGTGAAATTGATCCCAACTTGAACATTTGTTAACCAATCCTAAATTTTCCTCCAAATTTCAGCCAAATCAAACATTCAGTTTTTGAGATATAGGTGAATCAAGAAACCATGTTTTACACAGATGTAAAAGGAAGGAAGTAGTGGATGAAATTGTATGGAGTTATCTTGGTACCAACCCACACAATCTCTGAAAATTTCAAGAAAATCAGATAAATGGTAGTCTGTGATTTGTCCGTAACAAGGATTAGACTACAGACAGCCCAGACATGGAACTTTGAACATGGAAGAAAATTCTTTCCTTGATGTATAAAAAGTAAAATGGGTAATCAATTTGGTTTTAATTTTTGAAGCACAAGATTTTTTTTTTTAACTTCCCACACAAAAAGCTTCTCTACTTTCGATAGTGAGGAAGTAATACAAATTAAAAAATACTAAATTAAAATTTATTAGTTAAAATAGGCATTTAGTAAATTATATATTGTTTTATATTTCTTATCAAATACTAACAGGATCATGAATACTAATGAATGTATTTAATGTAGTGAATGAAACCAAATATAAACTAACCGCTCCCTTTCAGTTTCGACATGAAAAGTCCGTTCAATCACAGTTGTCCATTGAAGTCCTCTAATAATGAAGGTATACGGCTTTGGTCTATCAACGCTCATAATCTGGCATCCTTTCACAGTAAAGTTATTCAGCGGATCGGCAGTTCCTAATTCTGGCTTATTCTTATAACCCATTAAAGATCCATCATCAAATAAGACAAAATAACGTGGTCGCCAATTCTTTATATGCTCACCTAAAAAGTAATTAATAAATAAATAAACATTAAAAATTAAAGATATCAAAACATTGTTTGATGTTTTGATATTTGTATAACTACAGCCTAACAACAGAACTAAATTAAGAAACAGAAGAAAAGACTTCATTGTCCAATCATTATTCATTCAACAAAAAGTGTAATACTGAGATGCTACGTAATTCCATTACAAACTGATAAAAAAACAAATTATTCTTAAAGTCACTAGTCATCTTAGAATGAGAGGAAGTAGATTCCAAAACTTAATTATAAAAAAATGGATAAATAATATAACTTAATCATAAATCAAATCCTAAAAGAGGAAGAAACCTGAGCCATTGATGACAAATGAGCTAATTAATTAACATACTATTATTATGAGAGCTTAACCTATAGTTTAGTTCATTTTAACTACTTTCAGATTAAGTTAGTTTGCTTAGAGAAGCAGTCATTAAAGGAATAGAAAATTGTACAAATAAGTTTTTTAAAAAAATTAACACAGTATTGTTTGATTGTAGTTAGTTTATCATTAAAGTAATTTTGAAGAATGATCCGTAATTCTTGTAAAAAAAAAGGGAGCAAATTATGCACATATATTTAGGATCAGCTTACCATTTAATGTTTGTTTGTTGTTTTTTAAAGGCACAAAACTCTAATCATCAAAAGTCCAGATTAAATGTAATTAATTGTAAGATGCAGAGAATAAAATATTTGGTAATACACATTTTCTTTCGGCTAAATTTTATTTTCAATTAAAAGTAATATATACACAGATCTAAGTATCTTATCTATGAACTGAAATGTGGTTAACAAAATAAAATATCTGATGTGCTTCGCAAATCACACAACATTCATAACTACCTTACTTAGAACAAAAATTTCAAGTTAGAGTTGGACGTTAGTCGATGGAAAATTTGTTTGGATAGAAAAATGATTAAATTTTTGGTCAGAATTTTAAACCACAAATAAACGTATGTTAAAAATGATTGAAATTTTATCAGAATAAAAATCTGAATAAAATTATAGTTGTTTACTTAAGACTAAAATTTCAATTGGATGAAAAATCACTCCGATAGAAACTGTATAGTAATACATTTAAAGGTATTTAAGCACTACCCTTATTTATAAATGTAAACTATTGCTACTATTGCAGCCGAACCACTCACGGATTTCCATTTTTATCATCTTAAATTAAATCCTATTAACATGAAAAAAAGTTTTAAAAACACAAAACTGACAATAATGATTAACAATAAAAAAGACCAATAAATCAATGACTTTTGAAATATGATTGATCGGGTGAGGGTTGCGCAACTTTTTCAAACTTATGTTATTGAAATGTCTTTTATTATAAATATATGCTTGGTTTCTATACCTTAATGGTCTGACGTTTGTATTGTAATCCACTTGGAATAAGCACCTGTGGAGAAAGAGGCTAATAAACCAGTAAAATACATACATGTTTTAATTTACTATGATTTGAGGCTTTTATCCTAGCAAGCCATTAACTATTCTATAATTCAAATAATATTCAGATTTATACCTCAGATCTAACAGATTATAAGTAAATATGTTAGATCTGAGGAGAATCATTTTCTAGAAGTTGGACCCACAAAAATAATACAGCTCTAGCTTATCGTTCTGTTTTACACTAAAAACTTGCTAAAAATAATAGGATACATAAAAAAAATTACTGTTTTTCAACCAAATATTTGAATTATTATTTCTTTGAAATAAAATACAATTAATACTCAAAGTATATTCCATTTTGATCTATCGTCACTAGACATCTGCTAGCCAATTTCTAATCTCTTAGCTGATTTCTGAGCAGTAAGTTCGTCAAGGACCAGTTTACTGCTCTTTTTTTTTTTTAACTTCCCCATGGAGAGTAGTAGTCGAACCAAATTTTAACATTAAATAGGTATTGCTTGTATCAATGATTAAATTTTAAAAAGTAAAAGTAATTAAAACCAAGTTTTCAAAAAATTGAAAACCTAAGAAAACCCTTGTCTGTTCTAAGGGACGAATATAATTGTATGTCTACTTACACAAATTGGAGGGCTGTCCGAGAAAAAAAAATTTTTAAAAACTTATAATCCATTTTAACATGTTTTATTCGGAAAAAAATTATCAATGAATGACTAAATTTTTAGTCATTAATGGTTTTTAAAAAACCCATTTTTTTTTCAATTATTTGTGTTGTCTAGACACGACTAACAAATAAAAAAAAATTCATTAGTTAGGAATTTATATGAATTAGAATTTATTTGTCGATTAGATAATTTTCGCCCAACTATAATTCATTAGAGAAGAAAGAAAAACATATAGACACACATGTTCCGGTATACTATTAACGTTCACCAGTAAAGGTAACCCTTAACGAGGAGCCCCCTCGTTACGTAACAACCTCCCACAGGAGTGAGTGCCAGCCGGTGCAGGCCCTGATTGGCGACCTGTGCAGGCAATTTAGTATTTTCTACCTGCACAGGCATGTAGACCTGAACATGTGTATGAGTCACTCTAGTATTTCACTACAGTTCTTAGGTTAAATTAATACAGTTATTAATCAAGTAAAGTAATTGCGTCATCTTCATGTTTTCTAGCCATCTCTTAACTGAGTAAAAATCTTCCAGGTTACTACAGCATGTGTGTTCTAGCCTGCGCCATATACCTTTTCGGTTTACATATGCATGTTTAGCTAACAGGTATATCATAACATGTGTGCCCGGCCTGACATCTTCATTTAAAAAAATAAATTACCACATTTTTCCCACCCATTGAATCTGATTAATTAATACACTTGTGTCACTTTCCATTTTTTGAAAATAACTAAATAAGATAATCTAATAATATTAATAATCATGGGAGAACTAGATATTTCTGTAAACTTTTGATCTTTGGCTGAAACATCTTAGTATATATATATTTTTAATTAAATTTTATATTTTCCCTTTTACGGTACTAATATAAATATATACCAACTTAGGCATTCTTTAAATGACAGATTCAACTTTCATTTTTCTTAGAGAAAATTCAGTGCTTTTTTATTAAAAGAATTCAATCTTTTTTTTCTTACTTTTTTTCTAGAAGTGAAAATATATCCTAGTTTACCACTTTCGATGGATTTTGTATATGGTATGAAGCACTAATTTTTTTTAAATAAACAAAGTTAAAAGTAGGCAGTCTACAAACTTCTTCCGGCAGTGCTATATGAAATACCCGAACTTGATCAAGACCTATAACATAGGTTGAAACGTTGGCAAATCTAAAACACTACTGAATACATAGTAAGTCTATTTACCGTACCCCAATTAACTTTAGTAGAAGCAATTTTTGAAAATACGGCATTTAAGCTCTGTCAAATTATTGCAATGGTCTGCAATTAAAGAAAACTTGATTATACATGGATGCAACAAGTTTATTTGAAATCATCAGAGCTATTTTCGAGAAAATTGTAAATTTGATAAAATAAAGTGACTCTATTAATATGTTGATTTCAGCAAAAAAATTACTGTAACATTCCACCTTCGTCTACCTACTTGATATACATAATTTCAGTTCTGTATGATTTTTCATTTTTGAGTTAGGTGTGCTCGCAGAAGAAAACTGTAAAGCTACTTAGTACAATTGGTATAATAATTATCAACATAAAAGAGGCAATGGGACAATGACAGGTATAAGAAGAAGATCAAGAAAGTAAACAGATGAACTTGCTAGAATAATATTATTAACTGAACATTACAAAAGATATTAATAAGTTCTCACATTAAACTAGAGAAATAATCCTAGAATGTTATAATTAAAATAATAAAGCTTACACAAAATTAACAAAAATATAATAAAAATCAAGACTATAAATTACCTCTTTTAAATAACCATCCCTCTTTGACGATGTTAGCTGTAGTTGGAGCAGCATTATTAATGGGTTGCTCAGCCATAATAATACTGAAATTATTAATTACATTACCAATAACATTCACTGCTACATAAGAACATTTAAACAAATTTAATAGCTACGAATCAATAAAAAAATATAAATACCTTAAAGATGATCCACAATTAGTCTAATGATACTGCTTTTAAAATTTATATCCATAAATGGATAATTTCTTAGTTAAATAAATAAGATTTAAAACACCTTTCCTGTAATGATAAAACAACATTGAATGATTTGTTTAGAATAAATTAATAAAAATACAAGAATCAATACATAAATAATATTAAATATTTAGATTTGGTGACATTGATTCATACAAAAAGTAATTTTTTATGGTAAGGCTGAATGATAACTGTCAAATCACACAGACACAAAGTGTTAATGAATCATATTCATCATAGAGTTTATTTACAATTATGTGTTGATCAATGATATAATAAAACAAGGGGATCGTTTTAAATAAGAAGTAGACACTTGTCTACAAATACTAACACTATTAATGTAAAAAAGAAAAGGTTTCAATTTAAAACTGTAGGTTAGAGACGGGTATGAAACCTAAACTTACCGCACTTGATCGTTTCTACAAAATCATAATACAGAACTATTATTCAGTGATGTCATCAGAGTAAACATTTCAAATGCATCAGAAATGCCACTTGTACAAATTACCTTTAAGACCACAACAAAACATTAAGGCGTGAACCATGAATGAATCATGGAAACAAACCAAGGCCTTACATAATTCGTTGATAAACAAAATGACATTAGTATTATATTTTAAGAACCAGAAACATCTAATTGACAACTTTTTATGCTCATCAAAATTTTATGAAATACTGTTTAGCACGTATAGATATGTATTTTTTACAGCCAATTTAAATCTTATTACGCAGAATAGTGTTGTGGCGGGCTCAAGCCAGTTTGAATCTGATTTGTGATAGTGGTCAGTTACATCCGAATGACAATTTAAATGTTTAATGTTATTCGCTATAATTTTGATAATCAATTGATAATTTTCATTTTATATTCTGTGATAATTATCGTTTTTTATCTTTAGAAATCCCTATAAATGGATTCAAAAGATAACTGTTCTGTTATACATTCCAAAATAGGTAAAAAGAAGGATGTCAAAAATATGCTTCCTTCCCATGTAGTTTCACCAATTCTTTCAGGAGAAAAGACAGGACCTATGGATCCCCAATTAGAACCACAGATTACAACTGAATTATTGACTAATAATGAAGGTCTTCAAGTTGTTAAGCAAGAACCTTCTGTAAGCAGTGTATACACAGAAAATACTGAAGATTGTTTGGAATCCAATATAATTACCAGAAAAGATATTTGTGGTGTTACACCATCTAGGGAAATTTCTAAAAGTTATAAATTCCAGCATGGTGTAGCATTTACTAGTACTCCATTAAATGAGAAGGAATTTAAAAAGGGTATAAATGTGTTTGACAACTTAAGTATCATAAATGAGGAAGAAGAAAGTTTATTGCATGAATCTAAAGAATTAGAAGTTGAAAAAGGACCTGAAAATTTACCTCAAACAACAAAAGAATGTATTAATGCAGAAAAAGAAAATGAATCTTCTGATCTTTCAGTTTTTACGAAAGATGAATTGTCACAACTTCTTGACATTCCAAATGGAAAAATTTTAACAAGGGAAAAATGTGATGTGAATAATTTGATCTTGTCTGTTCAGAATGACGTGACGGTTGTTTATAAAAATATTTTTGACAAAACCATTGATGATTTGTTATTAGAAGGCAATGAATTAGAAAAAGTTTGTAATTTAGAAATTAAAAATGATAAGAAAGAGATCTTAGGAAAAGCAACAGCTCTTAAACCTTTTGTTAGTCCCAATGATGAGGAAAACAGAGATAACAATGATCCTGAATGGGAATTGCTTCGGAAATTAGAAACAGATGACGAGAGGTAACTAATGAACGTAGCATCTGATGTAATATCTCTTTTAAGATCATGGTATTAAATCAAAAGTGTGACATCTAGTTGATTGGTGGTTCAAGATAACATCAGTCACACCGAACATAGAATTTCTGGAAGTATGTGTCCGAAATTGTATGGCGGTGATTGATCTCTGTAAGGAACCATAGGAGTTTTAGCTCTCCTTTTAGAATTGTTGCAATCCCTCCCATGAACATAATTGCCGCTAGTTAGCTACTTTCTGGATTTCATCTACAGTATGATTTGTGTGATCTTGAACCACCAATTTGTGAGGGAGATTTAATTTATAAATGATTTGAATAAGTTGTACATACTTGCTTATAAAATTATAATTATTATGACTTGTCAAATCCTGTGGAGACTAGGGCACCTATAAGTGCCTTCCATTCTGCTCTTTTTGCAGCTATCATTTTTGCTTCGGACCAAGTCTTGTCAGCCCGGCTTAGATTATTTTGAACAGATTGTGCCATGTCTCTCTAGTGCTTCCTCTTCTTGTTCCTTGGGTTTTCCATTGAAAAGCTTTTTCTTGTTGGCACTATCTGTTTTGCTCAATGTGTGCCCTATCCAATTTCATTTAAAAAAAAGCTATTGCTTGACTGCTCATTTTGTACGGTCTTGGTAAGAGTTAACATATAGGTAAACTATTATTTTAATTTTGTATTCAACTAGTCGAAAAAGTACTTGATAATATTTGTTCAGAATGATGATCTTATTGTCAATTTAACATTTAGATGAGATTTAGGTATGTGTGATTCAGAAATACTGGACCTGTTGTTTTATAATAAGTATGTTTTAACTGAACATTAGATCTCTTATAGATTTTCAGAAATAACAGGTACAGCATAAACCAGTATTTCTACAGTATTCTAGCGTATAGTCGCTACATGAGTATTTTGTCCCAGCTTGCATATATATATTTTTTTATAACCCTCTACCCACTATTTTTGGCATATGGGGATTGTTCTAGAGGTACAACCAAACATATTCTAACCAGAATGGGAAGGTTGAGTCCCACTCCATGGGTCCACCACAAAATAAAAGTCATCCGCTCTCAGGCACAAAGCTAGGTATAAGAATGCAAAAACTGCCAACTCTCTAATACCCTCGGACATCACGACCTTCCTACTTGCCTACATGTTTGATAAATACTAGCTAATATCTAAACCTGTATTTTCACTCAGGTCAGGATGAGTTTTGTCCCACGAAATAAGAATGATATTCCTGAGTAGGGGATCCAAGATTTAATTTTTCAGGACTTCAGCCTGAAAGCTTTATATATATATATATTTCTACGGTTTTTACTTTGGCAAAAAAAGGAAGAAAGTAACTATCAATATGAAATGGTGTTTAAGCGATTCTTGCAGTCCTATTAAATGTAACTATATGAACCATAACATGGTTATATTTTACCACTTTTGGGAGGGGAGGGAGTTGTTGTGAAATGAAAACAAATATTTTACCTGTAAATTAGGTTTTTATTAGCAAACAAAAACATTACTGAGTTTGAAGGTTAACAGTGTTAGGAGAAGAACTTATGTTTTAATTAGGAGAGTAATATTTCTCACGCAAATTACACACATCACTTCTTGCATCCTTTGGTCAAAACAAAATCAAATACATATTATACTGATTATCATAAGTTATTTAGGTAAATAATCTTTAAAATATGAGGGAGGTTTTCTTTAATACTGAGATCTTACATTCGAATTCCTAACAGGTAAGGCCAAAGTTTCAATGCTTTGGGACTGAGGTTCCACAACAGGTTTTGTACCCAGGTTCTATTTTCGTCTACTGCAGGCGGAGGTTGGGTGAAGGAATATCCATGACGCCAGTAGCTGAAGTGCCAATTGTCGAAGAGAGACCGTAGATTCTGATCCATTCTTTCTTAGAATTAGAGCATAATGAGGATTAGTTTTCAATAATTCCACTTCTTCAATCAGATTCTCATATTTGCTGAGCCTCGCATTCCGATTGGCAAGTATAGAGCCCGGTAAGCCTTTCAAAAACTTGGGTTTGAAAGGCCAATATAATTGTTTTCCATCAAGTACTGTTCAGTTGCTCTATCTGCCCGTTACCTTGAGGATTGTATGAAGTGGTCTGGCTCGTAGCAATTCCATTTGCATGCGGAAAAGAATTAACTTCTTTAGACATGAAAGAACTTTCTCAGTCCGAGTGTACTGAGCAGCAGCAGAAGAAGTTTTTCGAATATTTAACCACAGTAGCAGCTAAAACATCATGAAATGCTTACGCAAAGGGAAAGCGAGAATATTTGTTAATGATTGTGAAAGTAAAAAAGTTACATGTCTTGGATGAGATTGGTCCTTTAAAGTCAATATTAATTCACTCAAATGGAGAGTTGCCTTAACAAGAACCCCAAAGGTTTTCTGAAATCTTGGTTTCGCATAAACTTGACGGTTGGTAATTATTTTCCTGACATCCTTCAGCAGATATGGTAAATTCTTCTGCTTAAACCAATGAAACATGCAAGTTGTACCAGAGAGACAAAATGATTTATGGAGCTGAAGTAATCAGTAACACTGGCAACATTGCAAAGTCTATAGAGTGTCAGCTTTTATATTTTCATCGTCTAGGGTAGATAATTTTATAAAACAAAAAAAAGGTGCTAGTTCCATCCTTCATCTAGTTATTTTCTCGTTCTTTATCTTACTTGCATACTTTCCGTGGAAAATAAAAGAGAGGGCTTCCTGATCCCTGATTCGCTGAAAACGTTTACTAGGAGAAAATACTGCAAATGTCTCAAAGACTACGATTGCTGCAGCCTCTTTTTCAATCGTTGGGTGCCCGCCCATTTCAGATTTGGCCAGTGAACGGGAGATGAATGCGACTGGTAGACCATGGCTTAGCGTAGCGCCCTATGCATATCCAGGTGAACCAGTTTCCACAACAAAAGCACGGGATTCATCATCAGCTGTGATAGTGGACTCAACAATTTATTAAAAAATTCCAAACTTGGTGGAGGCGCTATGATCCAGTGACATTCGATTAGCTCTCTAATTTTGTCTGAAAAACGAGGGATCCATTTCGAATAATGGCCGAAAAATTCAAGATCCAATTTTAATGACTGAGTCACTCGGTAACGGCATATTCAACAATGGAGTCAGACTAGAATAGTCTGGTTTAGTTGAGTTATGGGAGACTAGGTTTCCAAGATTTATCAATGCTAGGTCATACTAGCTCCTTTCTTTGTTCATCTAAATGCCCAGTTTATCAAGTGCCCCCATTAACTTCTTAAAATTTTCATCATGATCAAGTTTATCAATGCCGCAAACTGTGATATAATCAAGGTAAGGGTATACACTTGTGAGGTACTCATCAGCTATTATCTGGTCCATCACGCGCGGAAACAGCCAACCCCATTGATCACTCCCAATGGTAACCGTGTGAATTGATATCTTACCCTTTGCTTCGAAAGCAGTAAATTTCTTATCGTCTTCATGTATGAGGATTTGATGGTAAGCATTTTTTAGGTATATTGCACTGAAACTGGTGATTTTTCGAACAATCTCGACAACATTGGGTAGGGATTAAATATCAATGTGTGTAAATTTATTTAGGATCTGTAAATAATCAATGACGAGGTGCTTGTTAGTATTGAGACTCGCAATCAATACCTGTGCTCTTCACGATGAGCTGCTGGGTTCAATGATCCCCTCTGAAAGTAGACGAACCATCTCAGCTTCAATTAACTTTAGGTCGGCATCGCAGTATCAACGGGACATACCCGGGACAGCGACATACTATTCCGTTGACATCACTTATAATAACAGTACAGCTCAACTGTGGCAAAAATTGGTTGATTACCGAGGCGGCAATGACTTATTTTGTCTTTTTCGTGCCTTTCTTGCCACAATACCAAAAAACTTGGGGCTGAGTGATTAAAACTGATTTGTTCCGAATCTAGCTTGATTAATTTGTTAGAAATCTCGTAACCAAGAATTTTAATAGATTGAAAGCGTAATCGATATTAGTCGGCATTCAAAGTCAAATTGTATTTACTGGCTGCCTTCAGAAAATTTTGTTAGTAGAGCAGTGATATATCAAAGGAGAAGGGGTAGATAGTTCGACAAATCTAATAACAGGGACCCCACTGTATGAGCATTTCTTTTACTACTTAAGTAACTGTATTGCGGAAAAATTCATAACAGAAACTGCATTTTCGAAAATGGTTTATTCTTCAGATTTTATCCTCATACTAAAAATTATAGACTTTGAAATATAGATAATTATTTAGCCAATGAAAACGGTGAGAAAGCTATACTAACCTTACTTGACAGGTAAGATGATAGGTAAGGTTCTGGTGAAATTTGGAGAATTTTTCTCGAATAAGATCTAGGACAAATGGTATGTTGAGACGGTGGTATAAGATTTTATAGGACGGAGCATCAACTATTGTTCGAAGGACTTTGACTGAAAGGATTGGTCCCCCACATTACTGGTCCATAAGTCCAGATTGGTTTCAGCATTGTCTTGTAGGTCATTAATTTGTTGTCTAGTGAAAGTTGAGATTTTCTAGTCAGTTATCAGTATAGTTGGCTGTATCGTCGGTTAAGTTCTTGTCTTTTAAATCTAGTGTGTGGATTTCATGTTAGTCTTCGGTCTAAGAGAAAGCCAAGATACTGTACTGTGTCTGAACAAGGAAGTTGGATGGAATTAAAGTGGACTGGTGGACAACATCTGCGTAGGAGCATAAAAGTAATATGTTTATATTTTGATTAGTTTACTTTAATGCGCCATTTATTTACATTTTCACCAGTGCTCAATCAGGGAGATGGGCCTTTGTAGATTTAAGGATGTTATTTCAGTACCTGTGTTGCGTAGTAGGATTGCGATGTCATCAGCAAATGTTGCCAGGAAGGTATCGGGTTGAACAGGAATATCAGCAGTTAAGAAGATATTAAGAACAGGATCCAAAACACTATCTTCAGGAGCACCGAACTGGATAGCATTGGAAAATTTTGTAGTGCAGCAAACTCGAAAGGTGCTATCAGAGAGGTAGGAGCAGTTTGTGTCGAACAGTATTGCTTGCTTTCCAGGGCTGACTAAATATGGACAATCACTTGGAGTCCTTGTTGGACTGTGGGGTTTGTTAGCGAAACTGATGGGAAGGAAGATTTTAGGATTTTATAAAGAGTAGGATTCGTTTCAGGAGAATCTTTTCAGGGATTTTTGAAAGGATTGGAAGGTAGGCTAATTAGTCTATAGGATGTCAAGCTGTTGGGAGGCTTTGGAAATAAGGTAATTGTAGAATGGTTCCATAAAAGAGGTGGTGATATGAGTATGACAGCTTTAGGAGGAAGTTGTCAAAGGATCTGAGTGTTAAGGAGGTCGTATCCAGGAGATTTACGGGGAGTTAGTTTTTGTAAGTGATGGTTGACCTCAAAAGGATTAACTACATTTTTCTACTGTTGTGGTGAGTGGGGTTGATTTTCCGGGTGAGAAGTGAATGTACAGAAAAGGTGTTCGGCAAATTCCTCTGCTTTATCTTCATCAGATGCTGACCAAGAGCCATCACCTCAATGGAGAGAATGTGAAATATGATGGAGTTTTAGGATTTTTTTCTTTATCTTCCATATGATATTGTTATGAATAGAAAGGAAAGTAATGCAGGAAATACTGAAAATAATGGTACAGACCTATTTCCTAATATTTAAAGCATTTATGTACCTATTTCGATTAGTAGCTTGGAATCATCATATTTATTTGGTCCTAATCAGTGAAGCAACAGCTGTAGCCTAATCTAGTTTGGTATACCAACTTACGTTGATATTTTGATTGTAGTTTATGCAATTTTAATAAAGTTGAAGTTTACTTAGTAATTTTTTTTTATTTATTTATAACTGAGTTCTTTAATTAGTTCTGTTTTTCATTCAAACTGAAATTTTATTGTATTTTTATTTATATTATTTTATTTCTTTTTAGATATAAAGCAGTAAGAAAACTTTGGAGAAATTTAGCGATTCCAGATTTAAAACAGAATCTATCAACATTTAACTGGAGGAAGAAAAACTCCTTGCCCGTTCTAAAAAACATTGCACCTATTAAGGCCAATGAAATTGGCAAAAGGGTAAAAAAATGTTATATTAGATTATCCATAATTATTTAAGTAATATACTTCATAAAACCTACTGGCTTTTTCTTAGTCAATGGTTATGCAAGCAGATGATTTGACCAATATCATCATGCTCAAGCTCCAGGTTTATCCTTTAATTATTTAATTTTTCATAACCATAAGGTATTCTCTTCTGGTTTTATACTTTTGGAAGGGTGTTTGTAATTTGAATGCTATTCTGTCACATTCTGGGACTTTGCCAAGCCTAATCTATTGCTATATTGATCTTGTTTCAGTACGCAATGGTCCATCCTCTGGGTAGTCTTCTCTCTTTTTCCATCTTCTAGAATCTTGAAACTCAGAATCATTATTTTTATCTGTAACAAATTTCTCTTGTAAAAACTATCTTAATATTTAAAGCTCTTCCTTGTCATATGTTTCTAGTTCCATATTTTTGTTGTTTACATTTCTAATAAGATTAGAATCTTTTGTAACAATTTGGACTTATAAGTACTGACAAATTATGTTTTATTAAGCCGTGATATGCATATAGACCATGCATTATCACTTAGTCTTCTCCTGCTTCAATCTTGCAGTTTCCCCTACCTACTTGCACTATCCTCTTGTACTATCTGCTTCATTCCAAAAATTTTTATTTTATCTCGTGTATTCTTAGATCCAGATTTTTAAATGGCCTGTACAATATCCTCATATTCTGCTTTATAAATTCTCATCCATTTTGTTCAACTAGTTTTCTAAATATGCTTGTTTAAGAGATTATGGAGACCAAATACTGGCAAATTATTATGTAAAATATGTTTTATCTGTCCTCTAAATTCAGAACACTGACAAATGATTAAATTTTATCCCAGGTAGGTTAGGGGGCGGGGTGGCCGAACGGACTAAGTGCTTGTGCACAGCACTGTCATCGCTAGGTACCTAGTACCTAGCTACTAAATGTAGCACATGTCAATAAAAATTATAAAAACGGCGAGCAACAATTTGGGGTCTATCAAGCCAGATTTAGAAAGGAGGGAGGTTAAAGCCTTTTTAGACCTCATATTCTCCCTTAAAACAATTCTTGAAAAATTATAGGAATATAACAGCACAAACCGACCATCTTTTCAACAAATTCAAAAAAAGTCTCTCATAGTGTAATCAAAAGTGAATTATACAAGGATCTATTAGAAATGAAAATCCTCTTCAATGCTTATTCAACTGATTCGATTAACAATGTAAACAGAGCAAAGTGCTGTCCACATCTGTAGGAGTAGATCTGAGGATTTTGAAACCGTCAAAGGCCTGAGGCAGGGCAACTGCTTGTCATGTCACCTCTTGAATATGGTTACAGTAAGCAATAAGAAGATCAGTATCAGGATTCAGGTTGGCGGAACTATATTTCACTGCACAACACAGATTCAGGTTTGCTGGGTTCACTGGTGATCTGGATGTCATGGAAAGAAGTTTTTCTGTTGTGAAAGAGGTGATCCTTGTCCTAAGAAATGCTGCAGAGAGGATTGGACTCGTTTTTAATGAGAAAAAACTAAATATATGAGGACAAAGATCCTCTATTTGGCAGAAATCAGCAGCCACTGTAACTTAAAATTAAGGAATTCAATGTTGAGAGTAACCAATTTTATATACATTCGCTTCCAGGTTAATGCTAACATCATGCATCATAAAATTAACAGAATATTTGTCAGGCTAATGGCAGCTAATAGGTCTTATTTTGGTTTATGAAAGCACTAAAAAGCAAAACAATATCTTGCGCTATGAAATGGTGTCTATATAAGACCTTCATTAAACCAGCAGTAACATATGCATCTAAATGCTGGTCTCTCACCAAAGTCAATGTCATGGGACAACTAATGGGATTCAAAAGACGAATTCTCAGAATCCTCCGACTAACATGCACTGATAAGATCTAGTGGCATCAAAACAACACATAAATTATACTCCATTGTGGTAATGTAGGTATAGTTTAATTTATTAAAGTTGGAAGACTTTAGTGGGCCGGTCATGTTAGCAAAATGAAGCCAGAAGAGATTCCTCGTAAGTTGCTAGAAGAAAAACTCAACACCACTAGAAAAACTGAAAGGCTGAGGTTAAGATGGATAAATTGTATTTAAAAAGATGCCAAACACATCCAATTAAAGCTGCTTGAGGCCCTGACTCATGCAGAGTTGTAGCACCGGTTAAGTAAAATACGAGCAACCATGTATTTTTTTTCCCTTTAATAATATTTCCAATTACTATACAGCAAAGAAAAAGGAAGGATATAAATTGCTTAGTGTCTCAGAGAATATTTAAAATGAAATAATTTTACAACTTTTCACTTATATAATTAATTGTTCAGAATTAATATTAAATAATTTTTTCCTAATTTTATTTTGTTTGTTCAATGTCATTTAATCTCATGATTACATTCCTCAACAGAATAAACCTATTTTTGTAGGAATTAGTTGTAAAGCGCCACTTTGTGAGACATAAGTTTTTTGTTTTTAGTAATTAAAATTCAGAATACTTTTAATATTTTCTATTTAAAATACATTTTTTTTTTTTTTTTAACAATTCAAATACTTTTTTTCAAAATACCTTTTATCCAAGTCTAATAGTTTTTCACAATTTTACTATCACATATCACCAGTTTTCATAAGAACAATCATTGTTTTTTTTCTGTAGATTTATATTTTTTTTTTTAGAAGAAAAACTTAATGTATGAATGCACAGAAGTATTTGATGTTGGAATAAAAAAACTTGATGACTTTTGCGGCAGACAGTACCAGGGAATACAACATGAGAGTGATTATGAAACAACAATAATGGCGTCATTGAATAAGAAACCTAGACTTGACGGTGGATCTGTAAGCATTAAAAACTTTAAAATAGTTTTTAAAATTGTTTATGAAGGATTTTCAATAACAAATTTTTTAATCTAATTACTTATGTTTTGACCCAAGTATGCAGGATATCATCAGATGATTTTAATATTTATTGAAAAAGTTTAGCATGTATAATGTACAGTTGAACCTCTCTATATCATATCAATGATTATAATGTATAAAACTTTTTTTAGGAATTAATTTTTTGTTAGAAAAAAATATTCTGTATTTTATAAAGAAGTACATACTTATTACAAACAGTAAACTTTTCGAATAAAGGAAAATAAAGTAATGTTTAAAATGATTTACTGAATTTCACTGATATAATTTAAAGAAGGATAAATAGTTGACTGTTATTTTAAAATTATAAGGATGAAAAATAGGGTTTATTATTATGTTTGCAGACATTTGGATTCAAGTGTGTGGGTCATCATCCGTGATTAAAAGTAAAAATTAAACAAATACATCAGATTTAATAGTAAATTACATGGCAATTGATTAAATAAAAAAAACATTCATGAAACAATGAGATAAATTTTTATCCTCTACTGATATTACTCTGCCACACTCCAGGACTTTGCCTAGCCTAATTTATAGCTATTTTGGTGTTGTCTTCAATGCTGAAATTACTTACGGAACAGAATAAATAATTACCTGTCACGGCCGAATTCAAACTTGAGACCCAGAGCACAGTGCTGTACTCAGTGGGTAATCTTTCTCTCCCCGTCTACATATTTTGAAGTAGTTATTACAATTTTATTATCAGATACCTGTTATTACCATTATTAAAAATTTGTCTAAATGGAAAATTTAGACTACTAATGGGCTTGTAAAGTTGCATTGATTATGAAAAATCATGAATCATGGCCAGAAGAATAAAATATTGTTAGATATTGCAACAGGATGAGTCCTAATGGAAAGAGGTAAATTCTGTTACATCTGATTCATTATAACTATTATTCAATATTTAATAAGTTACTAACTTCTTCATAATCAATTTTCAATTTTGTGTTATTAGTTTTAGATATTTCAATATTTTTACAAGAAATTTTGATATATTACTTTAGTTTTTTTGATTTATTAATTTAAATGAAAATATATTTTTAGGTTCGTGTTTCCAAGTGGAACTATCAAGCAAATTATGATAAAATTAATGATTGCTTTCAAGAAAGATTACATAGGCTCATTGAAGCTAAGCAAGAGATGAAAGCTGTCCATGACTTCTACAACGGATTGAAAAATCAGGGAAATGGAGGATATGGAAACACTATGCTAATTAGTCACAAAGAGCGCCTAGACCTCCTTGAAATTGAATCTATGATAAGTCATTTTAATACATGGTACAATCATCCTTAATCCCTAACTAAAAAGATTGAAAGAAATGTTTTTGCTTTATTTTAGTATTATAGTTTTAAGTTTGAGTAGTCTCCACTTTTCTAAAGTTTTGATGTTTCAATATTAACAAATTTGAAAAGTAAATTGTATCAGTTATGTGAATTTTTTGTTCAGAACTAATTATTATTAAGTTTTGTGTTAAGAAAGTTAAATTTTTGTTTTGAAATTTTGATGAAAAAAGTTTTTAGAAAATCAAAATGAGTTTCAAATTTAAAATATATTGAATAACAAAAAAATTAAGTAAAATGAATATCTCTTATAATAGCTTTTCCGCATTAAGTTTTGGAAATTTATTTTCTTTAATCATCCAGGGATTTTGTAACAATAATTTTGTTTGAGTGAAAAATAGCATCGTAATATATACATCTTTAGCATTATAATATTCGTAAAGAAAGTTCCTTACCCATATTAGTATTATTTGTGGTATAAAATTCTAGTCTTTTATTTGTTTTTATGGGTATTAGTGTTCTTAACTATACCGTTTTGTAAGTTAACAGAATGTGTTATGACTCTAGTCTATACTAGTCTTTTCGAGTGTAATATGACGTAAGATTATTCTTATTCGATAATCAAATAATGCACTAATTGCATTTATATTTAATCACTCAGGACTTTTTATTACATTTATGCTTAGGGATTATATGTATATTACAAGTTATATGTTTATCATTGGTATACTGTTTGAAGTATTAGTATTTTGTTTTGAAAATACTTATTTCCTTTATTTTCATATAATATTAAAAAATATAAAAATTGGTTACTAAGAAGTTTTTTTTTTCTTAAATCTTCCTTCTCTACTGACTCGACAGCTGTTTTTACACTGCCATTAGGCTGACCAGTCACCGAAAACAGCTGAACTGAGCGCCATAGCAAGGGTCAACTCAGCTCAGCTTCCCTCACTACACTTAGTCACCACTGCCTCACAACTATGTGGATTTATTCAAATTATTTTATTTTGGTTCAGTTTAAAATATGCAATGGGTGTGGAAGAATTCTGAATCGAATGTGTAATGGAAAATATTTGATTTTTTTTTTTCAACTCCAACATGATCAACTTTGCTATTTTAAAAAAAAATGTTATCCGCTTGTTCTCACTGCAAAACCTCTCAAATTATTTTATTTTGATTGTGTAAAATATGCAATGGATGTGGAAGAATTCTTTAATCGGATGTGTAATGGAAAATATTAGATTTTTCTTTTCCACTCTTACATGATCAACTTCGCTATTTCTTTAAAATGTTAATACGGAATATGAGGTTACCATACGGCAACAAGTTGCTGACTTAGCCGACCTCCACTGCACTATCGGTTGTCGACCCCTTCTTGCTACACTCAACTGCACTTTCGTCAGCCTCAACTGGTATTCTACTATAAACAAAAAGTGGTTCTACAGTATTATCCCACCAACTTTCAATTTGAAATTGTATTTTGATGTATTGAATTAAGTATAAAGGAAAAATTTGTTCATCTCTATTAAAACATTTGGGCAAAATATGTTTCAAGTCAATTCAGCTCTATCTTCATAATCAGAAATGTTTTTATCACATACTTCCAAAAAATCTTCATGTTCATGGATTATACTTGCCATTTTCAAACATACTTTATTTTGATTTCAGCCTATCCATCAAGTATTTTTACATTTCTCTATATGGTCATTTTAATTTAACTTACAAGCTTAATTATATTTGCTATTGTATTTTTATTATAAAATAAACTTAGAAAAACATTTTTTTTGTTTTTATACACTATATAGTTACGCAGCACTTTATTTTAGTCTAATTTTGGGGCATTAATCGAGTTAACTGGAAGGATACATTCCTCAATAAGTAAAATTTTAATAACTTAATATTTAGTTCCCTAAGCCAAACATTATCAATATGATTTAAATTTTCCACTTAGATGAGGAGTGTGGAGAAAACTATGGTTTAAAGTTATTATCCTGATTAAATTTTGATGTTCATTCTGAACTCATTTGTTTATGCTTCTTAGCCAGCCAGCCCCGCCTTCAAAACTATTATTTTAAGATAAATAAGAACATTTATGAAAACAAGCTGCAAGAGATACCATTCAGGGAATATTACAATACGCATTTCCAGCTAGTGACCAGATTATTTATTTCTCTCATATATAAATATTGAATATCAGAAAAAAGTTGGCTTTCGCAAAAACAAAATCCAGATTACAGGAATGATGTAATATTTTCAGATGAGGACAAATTGAATATAGATGGTTTAGAAAAAAATCTTTGTGCTGAGCAATTTTCATTTATGAGAATGTCAGTTAAATTCAGGTGGTACAATATATTCATCTATAACAACCACTCTCACTTACCTTATATATTACAAATCTTACTTTTTCTGAACTCTTAAACTTTTTAAGGGTATATTATATATCTATAATATCTACTATTTTTATTTCCTGAACTTGTTTTCAGCAAAAATATTTCTCCTTCAATTCATTTTAACTCTTTTGTAGTATTTATTTTAATACTTCAAATTATTAAAGCAAGAGACTAATATTTTGAAACAAATATAATTAATAATAAATATTTATATTTATGGAATAAAAAATTCCATGAAGTGCACAAAAATAAAAAACCCTATTCCAACGAACAGTTTAATCTCTTATAACAAAAATTTATTTTCTCATTTAAACTATATGATTATTCATTAAATTAATGTAAGATTTAGATAACATTTCATTATGATTTTAAAATTGGGAGAAATTATTTAATTTTGTATTAAATTGATAAAAACTATTAAGCTGTCCTACATTCAGCAATGAGGAAACAAGAAGAATACTAAGAAGAATGAAAAATATTAAAAAATAATTTTAAAAATAGACTTTATTTTTAATGGCTTAAAGACTAGAAAGTAAAAAAACGAAAATAATAGGTATAAATACAACACTATATAAAGTTTATACACACAATGTACAAACACTTATTAACAGTGACTTATATTTAATAATAAATATATCACAATTTGGAATTGGAATGAACACAATTAAAAGAGGAAAAAGAATTTACATCAGTCTAAGAGAAAAGGAAAGAAAGAAACAATATTTTTAATCAACTTCCTCCATCCTTGAAGCATCCTCTACACTGCCCTCTAATGGTGGCATCTCAACTGGTTCAGATTCTTCTTCGATGGCAATGATTTCATCTTCATCAATTCCCAAGCCAAGCTTGATCATCCTATAAATCCTACTGGCATGAACCTGAGGTTCTTCAAGGGTGAAACCAGAAGAAAGTAGAGAAGTTTCAAAAAGAAGGATGACTAGATCCTTAACAGCTTTGTCATTCTTATCAGCTTCTGCTTTCTGCCTTAATGTATCAATAATAGAATGATCAGGGTTGATTTCTAGATGTTTCTTAGCAGCCATATAACCCATAGTTGAAGTATCTCTTAAAGCTTGTGCCTTCATTATTCTTTCCATGTTGGCGGTCCAACCGTATTGTGATGTAACAATACAACATGGAGAGTCAACCAGCCTGTTACTGACCACTACTTTTTCGACTTTCTTGTCTAAGATGTCCTTCATGACTTTACACAAACTTTCATATTTGGCCTTGTCTTCTTCCCTCTTTTTCTGTTCTTCTTCATCTTCAGGAAGTTCAAGACCTTCTTTGGTGACAGATACGAGCTGTTTGCCATCATATTCTTTCATTTGCTGAACAACATATTCATCAATTGGTTCTGTCATGTATACTACTTCAAATCCTCGCCTCTTGACCCTCTCAACAAATGCTGAATTGGCAACCTGGTCCTTATTTTCACCAGTGATATAGTAGATATGCTTTTGATTATCTTTCATCCTGGCAACATAGTCTTTAAGCGAACAGGATTCATCTCCAGATGCAGAAGTGTGATATCTTAACAATTCTGATAGTTTCTTTCTGTTAGTGCTATCTTCATGAATACCTAATTTCAAGTTCTTGCTGAACTGTTCATAGAACTTTTTATAGGTTTCTTTGTCTTCAGTTAGTTCTTCAAACAGTTCTAAGCATTTCTTGACTAAGTTCTTCCTGATGACTTTAAGAATTTTGTTCTGTTGTAACATTTCACGAGAAATATTGAGAGGAAGATCCTCAGAATCTACAACACCCTTAATGAAGTTCAGATACTCAGGAATAAGATCTTCACAATTGTCCATAATAAATACACGTCTGACGTATAACTTGATGTTGTTTTTCCTCTTTTTATTCTCAAACAAATCAAAAGGTGCTCTCCTAGGGATGAACAAGAGAGCTCTGAATTCAAGTTGACCTTCCACTGAAAAATGTTTTACTGAAAGATGATCTTCCCAATCATTGGTGAGAGATTTGTAGAATTCACCATATTCCTCAGCTGTTATGTCATCAGGATTCCTGGTCCAGATAGGTTTGGTCTTATTTAATTCTTCATCTTCAGTATATTTTTCTTTAACAGTCTTTTTCTTCTTTTTCTTATCCTTATCTTCCTTGTCTTCTTCTTCATCTTCACCAACATCTTCAATCTTTGGCTGATCACCATCCTCTTCCTTCTTGTCCCCTTCTCCTTTCTCTTCTTCAGCTTCATCATCACTGATTTCCTTATCTCTTTCTTTTTCAACCAGCAATTTAATTGGGTAGCCAATAAACTGGGAATGTTTTTTAACGATTTCTTTAATCTTTCTCTCTTCTAAGAATTCAGCCTGATCTTCTTTAACAAAGAGAACAATTTTGGTTCCTCTGCCTAATGGTTCACCAGGATCAGGCCTGACAGTAAAACTGCCACCAGCTGAAGACTCCCATAAATATTGTTCATCATCATTATGTTTCGAACAAACAGTTACTCTGTCAGCTACAAGATAAGCTGAGTAAAAGCCCACACCAAACTGACCAATCATAGAAATATCTGCACCAGCTTGAAGAGCTTCCATAAAGGCTTTTGTTCCTGACTTGGCTATAGTTCCCAAGTTGTTGACTAAGTCAGCTTTGGTCATACCAATACCGCTGCAATAAAAAAATAAGATTTCTATGGTCAAATTTATTTTTTTAAGAATGTAAAATTAAATATCTATAAGTAATAACCAATAGTATATAAAAAATTACAAAAGTAATAGATTACTTCTAAAGTTAAAAGCTCAGATATAACTTAGATAGTAGATACAAAAAGAGATACATGATTTAAAAAACTTTTATGAACATTTAATGTTTATTGACAAATTTAAAGAGTTGAAATACTTATCTGAACTTCTAATAAAACTTTTAAAAATAATCGATTATTCCTATAGAGTTAAAAATAAATAAAACTAATTAAGAACTGTAATTATTAATAAAAATTATCACATAATTTCTTAATTAGATAAAAAAGGCAGATAGCATCGGTATCATTACAGACTTTTATATATTTATTTATAACACCGCATTTTGGTTAAAATTAATATAAATTTATTATCTACCTACCATGCACAAGTTCATAATAAAATTTCCTAAAATGTATCATTATAATATAATTTGTCGGTTTGCCATTCTTTTATTTCATTGAATATTGTTTTTTTACTTATAAAAGTTATAATAAAAATTTAAAAGTAATAAATAAGATGTTAAAATTTTTATGAAAAGAAGACAAAAACAAAAAGATTATTTGTTCTCAATTTATGCACCTCTTTCGTAGATGATAGTAATAGTAATCTCCTAGTAATAGTAAAAGTACCTCCTTCTCACTAACACCTTCATACAAGACTGGATTTATTTTAAAACGGAATGGGGTGGAGAAGTTAGGGATCCACTGTTTTATCAATTATATTTCAGTATATTATATTTTATGTATATATATTTGGCAAATGTCAAAATAAATATTATCATTTATTTTTGCCTTCTTATTTGACTGATCACCCCAACTATTCTTCTCTTCATTATTCACGACAGTCAACCATTTACCCAAAAATATTATATTTTAATTTTATCTATTGCGCTAGTATAAAAAGTGTTTAGATTATTTACGTCTGTTTTTGATTTCTGATTCCTAAGTAAGACTGACCGACACTGTACCAAAATCAAATTTATGTCCATTTTTTGTGGTATGCTGCGATAATCCTGTGGCTAATTTTGATTTTCTTGTTTTAGACCTGCAATTATTATCTACTTTAAAATAGTTTGTGATTAGATTTGTTATTTTATTTCTGGTCTTGTTTTGATTAGTTTTTATATTGGTATTGATATTTGGACTCTTTTGTTCTTTATTATTATCTTTGTTTTTCCTATTTTTATCTTTGTGCCATAATTTATTTATCAGTCTTTTTTATTTTATGAACCCGTGCATGGTAGGTAGATAATAAATTTGTCATTAATTTTAATCAAAACTGCTATGTTATAAATTTAAAAACAGATTTTTTTTTTATAAAATAGAATTTTGATTATTTATATAACTGATTGTTATTGAATTAATATGTGTTTTATAATGATGTAGTAGTTTGAAGTATAACAACTGAATTAAAATTAGTTTGCAGGATCTTGAAAATGACTCCTGAAGCCAAAATGTCGAATAAATAATATGATGTGAAAAATTTGTACATTTGGTGACCTTTGGCCTAATATATACTTTACATTTTTTTCTATTTTTAAAACTAGACAAATGCATACATATAAAAGAAATGGAGGAATGAGAATACATATAATCGATGAGAAAGAAATGTATTTCATAAGACACACACAAAAAAAGCAATTTACAGGGGAGCTTATAGCATTTTCAGTTATTTTCATGAGAGCTAGAAGGAAAAGCAGAGGAACAAATGACAATATTAAAATATAAAGTAAAGATCTACAGGAATCTTACTAGTATAGTATGAATTTTGGAGAGATCATTTTTTTTTTTTTCATTTAATAAAGTATTGCTCAAGTCCATTTTGATCAAATTGTTTAATCCTTTACATGGAAAACCCAACCCACTACTGTTATAGACCGCTCAATATGAGTTATTTTGACCATGGTTTAAAGTAGAACCATGAAATTTAATTTAAGTATTTGTAGTGATTAATAATTATGCTGTGTTGTTAGCAACCCAATGTAATTGGGCAGCACCATTTTATTTTATGATAATAAAGTGATTCTCTCTCTCTCTCTCCTAAGAACCAACATGACAGAAGGGGATTACCAAACCAAATTTTCAGCTCAAGTCCGGGCCTTACCAAATGGTTCAATCACTTCTGTCTTTTTCAATACACACACCATTATAGTGTGATGATGAGATCTTATACAATCCATGTAGGGATGGATGGCAATCGATAATGAATATTATCGTAATATTGATATTTTACCATTGATAACATGGTATTTCGATTTTATAGACTACAGGTATCATCCCCCTTCAATATTTAAAAATAAAAAATAAATTAAAACAATCATTTTCAGAATGCGCTAGGAAATATAAATGAATCTGATAGATAGAATACAAATATATTCATCTAGCATGTTTCATATAGAACATAGTGCATAGTAGAGAAAAACATTGATATTTCGATAATAGAACAAACCAAGGAATTGTCAAAGAAATCTATGTAGGATGCAAAGAAATTAGCACTTAGCTGAATCTGATCTATGGGTGGTAATGGTAAAGTACCATTGGTTGAATAGAAGTTTCTGGAAAAAAAAAAAGCGGAGGATGATGAAGATGGACAGGAACTAGAAAATCAATTTTATAAAGTAAAGGGGAAGGAGGAACTAAGGGATAAGAATGACACAGTGGATGACCAGTGATTGGGAGTCTCAAGAGCGCTGAAAACTACTGCAGAGAAAATCCTAGGATTGCAGACAAGAAGCAAGAGGTCACCTTGGTTTGATGATGAATGCTTCGAGGCAACAAATAAGAAAAATGAAGCGTATAAGAAGGCTATCTAGCGCCATACACATCAAACACACGAGACATACCAAATGGAAAGAAGAGAGGAAAAGAGATTGCACAGGAGAAAGAAGAGAGCATGGGAGAACTGCAAGATGAAGGATGTAGAAAACTGCAGAACATCTCGCGGCACTCGCCTCTTCTTTCAGAAAGTGAATGAGGGCCATAATGCCTTGAAACCAAAAATAACTACGTGCAAGAATGAGGGTGGGAACCTGTGCCAATAAAGTTCTATCTAACATACTATTTGAGAGACTAGTTCCTCATGCCGAGAGGAAGATAGGCAAATATCAAGTGGGATTTAAGCAAGGGAGGTCTCCACATTGGATCAACTGTTCTCACTGAGGTTGATGCTGGAGAAATGCAAAGAGTATAGAACAGTTACCCATCACCTCTTCATTGGTTTTAAAGCCGTCTACAATAGTGTAACTCGGCTGGAGCTCTATCAGGCCCTGTTGGAAATGAACGTCCCAATTAAACTGGTACGGCTCGTGAAAATGACGATGTCAGGCTCGAAGTGTGCAGTACGAGTGGGAAGTGACTTCTCAGAAGACTTTCATACTAACTGCGGTGTAAGACAGAGATGCTCAAGCCTGTCTTCTTTTTAACTTCGCTGCAGAGAAAGCAGTGCAGTGCGTATGTCCGGAATCCAACTCCATGCAACCCTTCTTTACAGTAACGTTCAGCTTCTTGGGTACGCTGATGACTTTGATATTGCCGCCAGATCGGAATGTGCATTAAGAGAATCGTTCTTGGCCATAGAAGATGCAGCAAAGAAACTTGGGCTACACATAAATGAAGCTAAGACCAAGTATATGAGAGTCAGAGATGGGCCAGGGACCGGTTGTTTTGTGGCTGAAACATATAATTTTGAAAAGGTATGCAGCTTTGTTTACCTCGGGTCTGAAATAAACTCCGAAAACGACATCTTTAGAGAAGTCAACAGAAGGATAGCAACAGCGAGACGGTGCTACTTTAGCCTTTTGAAGCATTTTAGAAGCAGGTTCCTCTCTAACGGGATCTAGATCACTCTCTATAAAACCTTGGTCCGCCCTGTTTTAACTTATGGATCAGAAGCATGGGCCTTTAAGAAGTAAGATGAAAATAGACTTCTGATCTTTGAGAGATCAATCTTGAGAAGGATTTTTGGTCCTGCTAGAGAGGGTGGAATTTGGAGAAGAAGTAAAAATGCCGAACTCACTTGCCTTTATAAGGACATAGACTTGGTAAAGTTTATAAAGTTAGGACGACTTCGATGGGCCAGGCACGTCGCACGTATGGATGATTCGGCGATACCCAGAAAAATGCTGTCCGGAAAGATGCATGGACAAAGAAAAGTTGTTAGGCCAAATGTAAGATGGGAGAACTCAGTGACATCAGACTCACGGGCTCTACTGGGTGTCCGAAACTGGAAAGCTGCTGCAGCTGATCGTATCGACTGGCGAAAGCTTTTGGAGGAGGCACAGTCTCGGTGACGGGATGTAGCGCCATATATTTATGTATGTATGTATAGAGGAAGAATTGATATTTCCATTAATTAATTTAAAGACCAAAACTAAATTTTTTTTATACGTTTATATGCTAGACAATCAATATTTATATTTAAAAAATGTTAATAATATCAATGAAAATATTGACTATTGATATTTTGATTGTATTGATAGTTATAGGCCGATATTAATATTGATGACAATATCGATATTTTGGGCCTTCGATATCCAATCCTTGCATTCATGTAAGTGGAATGACATTTGTACAGTAGTATCCTATTTAATAACAGATAAGAGTTTACACATAGGTGCTTTGTGGTTCTGCAGTATAGATAGTACAAACAAAATAAAAAAAATACTAATAGACTTACGTGTCAATTATGGTGAGTGTGCGGTCATTTTTGTTTGGTATTATCTTAATGTAAAGTTCCTTTCCACTTTCAAGTCTTGATGGATCAGTGAGGGATTCATATCTGATTTTATCTAATGCCTAAAAGCAATAAAACAAAATTAACAACATTCAAAAGTTTTAGTTGGAACAATAATTGAAGAGATAAGCTGGGCTGAATATTAATATAAGGCTACTACGCTAGTTCCGAATGGCTACTCTAAAATTTCTAGACTACTTTGAGAAGATTGTAGATGGTAAATGACAAGTCACAAATTAATTTTTAAACTTCTTAATATGCATTGAACACAATTGCAATACTCCACTACTTATAGCATGCATTTCTCATACAGCTTACAATATACTCATAGTGATCTTGAAGGTAAGGATCCAATATAATAAATTTTATTTTACACCAAGTAGCTAAGGTAATGATTTAAGGTACACTTAAAAAAAATTAAAACAAACTAGTTATCGCCCACAGGCCAAAATTAGACCATAATAATTAATGAAAATTTGAAAAAAAACATATAAATTAGTATGTTTCTTATATTTCATATCTCATACATTCGCCCATATACTTTTAAATGTACTTGACAAAACAAAAACAGTTTATTACTACCATTTCAGTCATTTTAAAAAAGTTGTTAAATAAAATTCTGAATCCATTGTTACTTTTTTGAACTTCTTTTTCTGAGAAGTATGATATATACATAAATTTTAAAAACAACAAGGAGATTACTTTAGTACAGTTTCATTAAAAACATTTATAGTATTTTTGGCTCAATAAACTATAGACACATTCAGGCACCATTTCAAAACATAAGGTGGGAAGATAGTGAAATTTGATTACACGGAACACTCTTGAATTTGATTGCAATGTAATATCAAAATTCCCAAGCAGTCAGTAAATTACTTTTGGAGATTAGCGGTTTTGAACAAACTAACATTTATATCTTTATTATAATGATGTAGAGATGGTTGACCGTTGATATAGCACTGTGGGAGGCAGTGGGTCGAAACGTCAGCAAAAATTAAATAATACTATTTGTTTAATTTAGTATTTGTTTGATTGCATGCTCCCTTCCCCCGATCAACTCCTCATATTATATCTTTATTAATATACACTGTTCCTGAATTTTTTTTATTAATGACACTACGCCAATCAATAGCTACAAAAAAACAAAAAAAAAGGAAAATTGGTAAAGAAACAAAGGAGAAAAAGGAACTGTTTCAGACAGAACGTGGTATCATCCTTGTGTATTATCCAATAGTATGTGGTATTATCCAAAACGTGGAAAGCCTATTTATATAATTCATATATAGAATATGGGACCCTCGACTTGATTTCTCTTCATAAAAAAATAATTAAAAAACCCACTTTGCTTCTTTGGTTGGTACATTTTTTTCATTGTACTTATACTGTTTTAACATTGTACTTATGCTGTTATTATATGGTAAATGTTAATTTGTCAAAACAGCTATTCTAAAAAATCTGGTGCAGTAAGCACTTCACACAACTTTAACTTACAACCCACTTGTAGCAGAAATAAGTATTTTGAGACAAAGGGGAAGTGAAAGTAAAAATTACAAACACTATATTGATTTACATTTCATTTTGGGTATTTTTATTTTTATAACTTGTACATAAAAATGTAATATTTATATTGCGGTAATCTATACAATTAAATATTAAATAATACCAACAATAGCATCTATAAAAACTACCTATGTATATTTACATAATATTGTTGGAGTCCTTATTATATTAAGCTCATGTTATGTATGGAAGCGTGTTCTAATCTTTTGGGTGAGCTCTTCTTATTAGTTTGGTTCCTCACTCACACAACTATTCTCCATTACAATCTCTTATTTCTCCTTTAGTTATCAAATTCTTCCATATTTTATATTTAACTATCTTTTATTTTAGAGATTAATGAGAAATGGCAAATTGTTTCAAATAAAAAAAATTAAAGGTACTTCAGAGAAAGCCAATATTAAAAATTAGCTATTTAAGCCCAGTTAGAAAACATCAATCAGAATAAAAATTAAATTTTATTTAAAACTGCTTAATTTTACACTGATATGATGAATTTAATCAAAATCATTAAAGCCGTTTCCAAGAAAATTTGTTAGTCCATTACATAAAGTGCCACTTCCGATTAGCTGACTTCACCGAAAAAGTTGCTGTAACGTCCCTAGCATATGATAACCTTAAATAAGCAATTTCACTTGCTTACGACTTATCGTTTTTGCACTAGACTGTTCACACATACACATACACACACAGACCATTTTGCAGGACTTGGTTATTTGGTCTCAGGGAACTTCAAAACGTGTATTTCCATTGCAAACTGAGATTCGGAAATTTTCACTATCGCATTACTTCCCCTTACTATATATTTCATATATAGGTAAGTGAAAGTAAAAAGAAAATCGTGAGAAACCGAGGAGTGTTTAAGAACTATTTAGTCTTTGCCAAATTATATATTATAATAAATATTCATGGGTGAAAAATAGTCAGGGCACAGTCATATTTAAGGGTTTTATCAGTGCCAACGTTTCAACCCACGCATGTAGGACATCATCAGGGAGTATTTCGATCACTGATGATGTCCCACATACTTCTGTTGAAACGTCGGCACTAATAAAACCCTTAAAAATAACAGCGCCCTGACTATGTAGAACAGTCCACTAACTTCCTTTAATAATTCAATAAATATTCAGGAATAATAAACTAAGATTAAGTATTGAACTTACATCTGATGAGTTGGAGATCAATTCTCTGAGGAATATTTCTTTATTAGAATAAAAGGTGTTAATAATCAGAGACATAAGCTGAGCGATCTCTGCCTGGAAGGCAAAGGTCTCCACATCAGCCATTTCCACGTCTTCAGGCATCTTTTCAACTAATGAGAAAGAAAAACTGAATTACAACTAGAGAAAAACAGTATGCTGAAGTAAAGTTAACACCTGGGATAGTCTTATTAAAATTAATTAATCATGGATATACCCATAGAATGAGTAAATAAGAGTAATAAATCATAAATTGACATGACAGAAAACTTACATTTGATGTGAACTCCTAACTTCACAGAACACTACAGACAAAAATAGTAAATCGCTCAGAGCACCTTCGCCCACAAAAATCAAGATTCGAATGACTATCCGGCGCTCTAGCCCGCGAATTTAAAGGATCAGCTGGATCTAGAACGTTCCAGGCTTCTTCCGGCGGTCTAGAACCATTGTGCCATTATAATTTTTATTTTAATGCAGAACACCATATTAAAATTACACTACATTTTTCTTATGTACAAAATATTTGCTTCCAGATAGCTTAATATACGAAAAACATTTAATTTTTTTTTATAAATAATCAATGTTGAAGATTTATTAAGCTCCATCTTAATACTCTTTACTTCACTTTTTTTTTGTGTGTCAGGCGGGCTCAGATTAGGGTTTCATGGCGCAAGTTGCGCCATCAAACTTTATGAGAGGGGGTACTTGTTGACGGAGTTTTCAATTTTTGAGGGACACACATTTCGTCAGGGTTATGAATTTTCAAAATGAAAAGTTTCAAATTAAAAGACAAGTGGAAGAAAAGCATGTAACAGATCGCAGGATGTGTAATTCTATATAATTTATGAATATTTAAATTCTACTTTTGTTTGTACTGTTTTTAAGAAGAAGGGAGGAATAAAATATCTTGGGAGAGGTGGAGAAAGATTTATGCGCCATCCACTAACGGATCCACGATTTGATTTTAGGGGGGGGGCTTCAGCCACAATGATTTTTTTTTGTATGTATATATTAGGATATTTACGTCGGAAAAAAGAAAGAAACTTATGTACCTATATGAAATGATGTTTAAGTGATTCTTTAAGTCCTATTAAATGTAATAAGACGAACTATAATACTTTTAGACATAATTTTTTTCATAAAACATGGTTATATTTTACCATTTTGGGAGGAGGGCCTCATCCCGAAAGCCACCTCGTAGATCCGCCTGTGGCGCCATCGGCTTTGGGGGGATGGACAAATACACATTATCGGTTATTCAAGTGATTGTACTCATCTCTACTCCTTTTAATTGATCATTACATAAACTAATTATTAATATTTATGATGAAAATTATAATTTATCATCATCCATTTATATCCTTGTGATTTCTCTAAAAATAGACGGCAATACATAAAAACCTGAATGAGATTATGTAATTACAATATACGACTTCAAGAGTAAATCGTGCTAAACAGACTGAAGGTATCTTTTTCTTGTAATCACGCGCAGCTTGCGATTTAATATGAAAGTCGTAAAATACTTATCTGTCTGATGTATTTATTTATAGAAATTATTTGGAAAATTAAACAAATAATTCGTGAATATTGAAGAAATCTCCGACAAGAGAATTGTAATGAACAAATGCAATAATCTTATGATTTGTTTAAAAAAAATGTTTTTCAATATTTTCACTATATATTCGTATGGGTTGGGTTGAATAAGGGTTTCCCATCTCTCAATATAATAATGATAATAATTACTCAATTGTATAAAAATATAAATTTTACTCCTTTGCCTTACCGTCTATTTTTTTTTATTCTTGTCGATATGAACGTCTGTAGTAAAATCACCAAATATTTAAAGAAGTCCGAAGTCTTAAGTTGTTTTAAATTTCTTTTGAACTTGATTATAACATATGACTTATTTAAACTATTTAAAAAAATATCTGATTGTTGTTGACCATTGATTGTAGACCACATGATTAGAAATTAAAATTTTAATTATTTATTCTTAAATGTTTTTTACTTAATTATTAAATACAAAAAACCTTTAAAGCAAGCATTCAAAGATTAGAGTTATTTGTTTTTTTATTACTTGAAATATACCAACTCTAAGCATTTTTGTTTAAACAGTGTTGCTTTATTTATCATGACATTGCTAAATTTAGAATATTTCTTTTATTCGTATTATTTCATGTTAATTTATTGCCATAAACATCCGTTTTGTCGTTTTATAATTGAGTGAGAGGGACCTATGAAAAAAAAAAAAAATCAGACCGTATCACTTATTAGCTGACGTATTAAACACTGCATTTATATTATTTATTCCACTCAGAACTATTAAAATCAATATTGTAACATTCTTCGTTGCATTCATGCAAAGCACGAACAATATGAAGAAACTCAAGTCAAATATATTTTATTTATTGATCGTTACAACGAGTGCCGGCCTTAGACATTCGGCATTTCTCTCTGTTAATTAAAATTTTAAAAACTTAATTTTTTTAGCCTCTTCTATAATTTTTTGACTAGTTTTAAGTTCTCCAATGTACTCCTTTTTCTGTATTTTTTCATTTTAAAGAGGTTTATGTTTTTACAATTCTAGTTAGGTGATTTAATTTTAATTAACTAAACTTATGTTCCCAGGGCGATTTAGTGGTAGTTTTGTAGTAGTAGTGGTGTTACGAATTATTTAATAGGTATCGCTCTGTATATTACATCATTATATAATTTAAAGATTTTAATAATTTATTATTGTTAAACCGTTAAATTTTGTAATCATTATTTTGTACTACCATTTTAATTTATTTAATTAAATTTCACATTAAACAGTTAGTTATAAATAATGTATCATACTAATGAATATTCTCAATGAAAAATAATTAAAACCAACCACTAAGGAAAAATCAATGACATTATTTTGGCATTCCATTTAATTAAATTTTAGATTATGACGATTTTCAAGTATTTGTTATTAATAAAAAAAGAGACGTAAAGTTTAATAACATAGACAAGATTGAAAAAAATCGGGTAATTTTTTTTATGGAGTTACAGAAAAATTTAAAAAAAAATTTTAAATCAAAATTATTTAGTTTCATTTTTCCAACTTCGTTTCATCTTTAAAATTTGTTATCATTAATCTATTGGATGAAAACATATCTTGACCTTACTAGTGACTGACGATTTAAGAACTTCTTTTTGGCAATTCGTACAAAATTTTGGTCTACCCTTAAACTAAATCAATTCAAAGAGAAGCTAATGAGAGGAAAACGAGTTGAAGTAACGGTCATTAACGTATTTCCACAATAACCCTTCCGTTTCGCAACCCCTCACACAGTGACGATTCTTTTATTCGAGTGTCTGCGGTTCAATTTTTATATAAGTTTTGTCAACTTTATTAGACAAATTGGCTTTATCTTGGAAACGATAAATGCTCAAATATTTCAGCCAATATTTTCCAGATACATTCAACCGTCTGCTACCTTGTAAAAAATCGTGAAGGACGTCTACGTTGCACTGTCCCTATTATGCAAATTAGTGTTTGAATGGTTCAAAGTAAGATCCTTCCGAGTTGACCCTAAATGTAAATTTGTGGGAACTTATGCTAAAGATGTATTTATGTGTGATACTTTATTTTGAATAATAGACCGGAATTGCCAATTCTCTAGAATTGACCTAGTTGACAACATTTGATAGTAATATTGTTGTGAACTCCGGTTAAACGCAGTTTTAATTATTTTGAAAGGGTGTGGGGAGGGAGAGGGACTTTTGGGCTGAATCACCGCAAAATAGAAAAACAATTTTTTTTCATTTGTTCATATTTGTATTTGTGAGTGATTCAAGCTACATAAATACTTCAATAATCGTGTTATAAAGCGAAACATGGCTACTCCTTCGTAAACTCTCTCTTTGTGATCCTACCAGATCTCCTCCCTCTGCAGTGCCCCCAGTTTCATCAAATGACTTAAATTCTTATTTCATATCTGCTTCCTCTTCAACTCCTTCATTTCTCCCTTCTTTCTTTCCTCCTGGAACATCTTTTAATGACGCCGATTTTTATTTTTCAGATATTTCTCCCACAGACCTCATATCCGCCGTGATGAAATCACACTCTAATTCTATTGGTCCAGATGGCATTCCCGTCAAATTAATTAAATTATGCCTCCCTGAAATCCTTCCGGTACTCCTTTTCATCTACAATTTTTCCCTTCAAAATTCAGTATTCCCTTCCTTGTGGAAAAAAGCCACAGTCCGTCCTTTAAATAAAAATTCTAATCCGTCTTCCCCTGAAGATTTCCGGCCAATCTCAATCCTTTCTAACCTTTCCAAACCCCTGGAGAGAATTGTGCAATCCCAAGTTTCCACCTTCCTTGAACAGTCCAATCAACTTGACCTTTACCAATCTGGTTTCCGACCAGGTTATTCCACACAATCCGCCCTAATCAAAATCATTAATGATGTTCAGTCCGCCATTGATGACAAAAAACTAACCGTCCTTATACTCATTGACTTTTCCAAACCCTTTGATTCCATCAACCACTCCATTCTCTTTTCCAAATTAAAATCATTATCCTTTTCCCATAGTTCTATCCTATGGTTTCAATCATTCCTTTCCCAACGCTCACAAGCTGTCGCTATTCCTAATCAACCCTTGTCTTCCTATCTTACCTTGTCCGCAGGAGTGGCCCAGGGCTCTAGCATATCTCCCCTCCTTTTTAGTTCTTATATCAATGACATCCATAATTCAATCCTTCACTGCTCCCATCACCTTTACGCCGATGACTCCCAAATCTACCTTTCCTTCCATCCCTCAGAGTTGCATGAAGCGTTTGCCAAAATTCAAGAAGACTTGAATCGGATCAGTGCCTGGCCAAACTTAAATGGGTTAAGGTTAAACGCTGCAAAAACTCAAGCCATTGTCATTGGTTCCAAACCCCTTCTCAGAGCCAATACCAACATACCTATACTGTACCTAAATGACCATCCCATTACCTTCACCTCCTCAGTAAAAAACTTAGGCATTTTCATAGACCAAACCCTATCCTGGAAACACCATATTGCGCACATTACCCGACAGTCAATTGGTACTTTGAAACTATTCCATCGCTTCCGCCATCTCCTACCCATCTCCACACGTAGACTCCTAGTAACTTCCCTCATCTTCCCCCACCTTGATTACGGCTGCGTGGTGTACGGTGGCCTCTCGGCAGAACTCGGGGAGAGACTGAAAAGAATTATGAATGCCTTCGTAAGATTTGTCACAGGGGCCCTGAGGTGTTCCCGTGTTTCGCACCACTATGCTGAATTAGGATGGCTCTTCCCTTCCTTCCGAAGACAATATTTCCTAGGCACATTCCTTTACCAAATAATCAATAGTCATCGTCCGTCCTACGCATACAATCTCCTACAATTCAAATCATCTATCCACACCCTCTCCACAAGATCTCGTCCTTCTGACCTTTACACTCCTTTCCACAGATCTGCATCATTTAAACATTCCTTCGTTGTCCGTTCCACTGCATTCTGGAATTCCATCCCACTAAAAATCCGCCATGCATCATCCTTATCCACCTTTAAAACCCTCTTATTCCAATTCCTCTTCACAATCCAATCAGACGCTGGTTAAATACATACTATGTTATAAGGATTTAATTTTCTTTAGACATTATTTTTTTTCTCTTATTTTTTATTGTTTTATTCTGTGTTGAACGTGAATTTTCATCACCACTCACTAAGCATTGTGAGTAGATAAAATTTGTTTTTCTTAAGTTCTAATTTGTCATTCATGGAATGTATTTCAGTGAAATATATTTTATTTCTAATTATCTTCAACATACTTCTCGCTATGTGTATATATATACTTTATTTTATTTTCTCTTCTCCTAATCTTTAAATACCTTAGGGAACATATGTATATCATTATTTGTTTTTTTAAATATTTTTTTGTTTTAGTTTTTACAATTTCTTTCCCTACATATTAACAGTTATTATTATTTTTTTTTTTTTTATTTTTATATTCCATCACTACAATGCTTTACCTATAAAATAGATTTTACTTTCCTTTCTAATTTCATTCAGTGATTATTATGCAATTATTTTAGCTCCAATATTGTAGTACTGAACCCCTATTACCCAACTGTCCTCGTTAATTTATCCTAAGAGCTTAATTAATCCTCGCGCGGGCTCATTACCGCGTATGGGGAGCGTCCCACGGGTGGCGGATGTGGGGATGGTCGGTGGAAATTCCTTGGAAGTTCCTCCCGGCTAAGTCCGATGGACTCGCTGACCAACAATGAGAGGGGCCCTCCAGACTTGCTGGAGGGAGGGGACCTCCAGACTTGCTGGAGGTAGGGGCCCACCAGACTTGCTGGAGGGTGTGACGTAGGATTGAACGCCCTACTCACATATCTTTAGTTCACCAAACACCACAAAAAGTCATGGATCTCCCTAAGGTAAAACGCTCATTATCCGGAGGTAAACTAGTCCCCCGTTCGGGTCTCCGGGTGGGGACTGCTTTAGGGGATTCATGCCGCAAGTTGAAATATAGGGATTTAAATATTGGTACGTGGAACGTAAGGAGTTTAAACACAGCAGGGGGGCTAAAATCGGTCGCGAATGAGGTAAATGGGTACAATTTGGATGTCGTGGCTCTGCAAGAGGTTCGCTGGCCAGGGGAGGGCTCGATGAGGGAAGGAAAGTACACTATTTGGTACGGAGGAAGCGGGAATCATTGTTTAGGTACCGGGTTTCTAATTAGGAGTAGATTACTATCCGCTTTGAGGGACGTACAATTCTTTAGTGATAGAATTTCGGTAGCTACATTTCAGGGACGTTGGTTTAAAATCGCATTAATAAACATACATTGTCCGACCGAAGACAGTGACGATGAAGTCAAAAGTGAATTTTACGATAAACTCGAATGGGTGTATGATAAACTACCGCGAAACTACATGAAAATAATTGTAGGTGACGC